TTACAGAATATTAAAAAACTATTGTTGAAAGTTTTTTATCATGTGTTTGTATGTATATACTTTGATGGAATTTATGAATAGTAAATATTTTAGTTAAAAAATTGCTGTCGACCGTAATAAAGGACTCAGTTTTTATTTCAATTGAAACATTTTTAATAAAATATTATTTTCTTTATATCTATTAAAAAAAAAATATTGTTTAACTTCTCGAAATTCTACTCGAAATTCTGAAATTAGGTGAATTTTATTAACAATATTATGTTAGTTTTATATAGAATGATTCAAAATTTTTTAAAACAGTTCTTTTGTCCTTGATTCTTAACTTTTACATTCAAATAAATTTTCAACATATACATACATATATACATATTATAATAAATTAATGAAATATCTTATTTTGTCTGTATTTTGATTTACATTCTTGATTTTTCTCAAATTTTATTTTTTACATGAAATTTTTGACACAATGTCGTTTATCAATTCAAACTTTAGTAAATATAAAATTAAATGGCATGTAAAAATTTAATAAATTTTTTTAAAATCCCAGAATCCTTTAACACACAAGAAAATATTAATGTTTATTTAGAAATTAAAAAACAATTACAATAACATATGGTCACATATTTTACTAAAGTTGAAAAGATTAATTATACTTTTAAAAATTTTTATTTAGAAATTAGTGTAGCATAACATTTGTTTGTGAATTCAAAACAATTTTTTTTTCCATTTTTCACTCCCTATCAATTTAAGCATAGGATTCAACTGTAGTTTCGTTAATAAAATTAGAAACTATAGCTGTTTGAAATACAGAATTTATCCTTTTAACAAGCAGACGAACAAAAATGTAACCTCTAGTAAAAGTTCAAAGTTCCAGTCCCAATATTCCTGAAAAAATTCCGTCATGTGAAATTTGATGCTATCACAATTTCTCCTTTATTACATGAAATACGGGCAGCAATAAAAGAATTAAGCATAATTGTTAGCATAATTAAGAAGGCATATCGTATATTCTCAATTATTCACTTGTCTAATCTTTGTTTATAAGTGCAAAATTATTCAATCGCCATATTAAATTAAATTTGATAGAAATTTTCGTCAAGATTATTGTTTTACATTTGTATTTCATTCTTTTAATTTTGGAAAATGAAAAAACATCTTTTGAATTTGAAAAATTTAAATTATGTACTCAGCTCTGTATATTTCGTATTGTTTGCACTTAATTCATTTATTTAATTTCCTCTAATTTTATTTTATTCCAGCTTTTCTCTTTTCTTATATATTTTAATTTTTATTGAAAAGTACTGTGTATTTTTTAATTGAAAAGTATGAAGAAAACAAAAAAAACAATGGTTGAAATAAAAGTTATAATTTAATGTACAAAGAAAATCCAAAAACAAAAACAGAGCAGGACACTTATTTAATTAAATTCAAAGAAATTGTGGATTTTTTTTTCTTATTATTTTAATTTCTATAAAAACTTATTTAATTAAATTTCGGATTCTGCCGAATTCAAATTGTTGTTTAGTTGGTACAAAGTTGTAGGTATCATCAATCTATGTGCACGACAATGTGAAAAACACTGACATAGTTTTAACTTTCAAATTAAGTTAGCAAAAAAAATATATTAGGATATACTGTATTAAAAACTAACTCAACCCAAAATTCTTATTATAAATTTTATAATGACAACGGATTTTTAATAGAAATTTGTCAATAAATTGTGTACGAATAAAATTTACGAGCAAACAACCATTCTATTATCCCTTTTTTTAAGTCGAATTTTTCGTAATAACGTAAAAATCAAATTTTTCTTTTTCGATTAACTTTTATTTTCTTTTGCTTCTTTAAAGGTAAAATTTTATTCAAAATCAGGTGATAAAACAAAAACAGAAATACCAAGTTTTTTTCATGAATAATAAACTAATCATTTGCTTACAATTCAAATTCGATGAATAAAAATAAAAATCTCGAAATAAATTGAAGTTAAAATTTCAAGGGATACTTCTTGTAATTTAAGATAAGTACTTTGTGGAAAACTATGAAAAAAAAAATACAAAATAAATTTGCAATTCTTTTTTCTTCTGGAAATGAAAATTTGAATTTTTGTACAATGATTTCGAATTTTTAAAAAAAATATTCTATATTGATACAACCGTATTCGTTATTTCCACTTAAGATTTTAATGTTACACAATTCGTCCACTATATCTTATGATATCAAATTTCCAATTACGAAATTATTTTTATAAAATATGACCAATTTCACTATTTTGGAAATCAACCTTTAATATAGGAACAGCAAATAATTCACAAACAAAAGCACTTTATGCACATTCACTAGTATTTTTTATGTTAAAAACTTTAACCAGATAAAACTAAATAAATATTGTAAATTAATTAAGTCCTTATTTCTATTGCTTTTTTTTTGTTTTAATGTTTTGCGCTAAATTATTATGGCGCCCATATACGAAAAGTGATTCAAGTGATTGTTTTCTTCTTGATTAAACTTCATTCAATCTATGGAAAATATTTATAAATTTGTGAAACAACAAAAAATGTTCAACACATTATGTGATTATGTTTTAAGAGTTAAATTCAGTGATAAATAACCCATTTAATACAGCATTTTCGATGGAATGGCATCACTCAGGCTATTAGCATACAAAATAGTTTGTACTTAAATTTGATAGTTTAAAGTCAACTTCCATTAATGTTTAAGACGTCAGGCTGACATACAATTTTCATTTTTGCAACTGTTTGATTCCCTGTTCGTATTCCATATTGGTTTATATTCAAGCAAGTACACATGCAACTGTATGATCTAATGCAATTTAGCAATCAAACAATTTGTAATTTTTTACAAACTGATTTAAATTTTTAGTTAACGTACTCGATTTAAATTAACACAATAGTTTAGTTGCTTGAATTCGCGACAATCAAGCAGTAATTCCATAATTAAAAATTGCAAGTTTGTGTGAGCTCTAAGTTAATGCAAAAACCCATTGTAATTTTAAATAAAAAAAAAACACACTTTGACACGCTAACTAAGAGTTATTGTACACTGAAAATTTTTTAAATGTCTATAAAAAGTTTCATTTCATACCACAATATAAAAATAGCTGCTAATCTTTTATAATTATTGTTTATTTGTTAAAACGGAAGCTGAAAGAGTTTTGATAATTTAACAAAATGCATAAATTTTTTTTTTATACAACAGTACTTACGAAAATTCTATTGTTCCGTAAATAAGTATTGTACGTATAATTATTGCCTCCTTTTCAATTTAAACTGGTTGATAAGTCTCGTTAAGAACTTTATAAAAGTTTTCTCAGCATGATTTCAAAAATTGATGTTATCCATCACAAAAACAACATGTTTGATAATATTTAATACTTGAAAGAAGCTATATTGATAAAAAGTTCAAAAATAAGTTAAATTTATAAAACTAGAGGTAGTCTACACTACCGAAAACCAAATAAATATTTCATTCATTAAACATTTAGGAAATTATAATTGTAAAAAATATAGCAAATTTTATTATAAACAATAACAGAATGCAGATTAACAGAAACTTTCACTCCATAATTATTATTATGTAATCCCTTTCTTTGTAATGGAATTCCATACAATAATATTTTACATCCTGGTTTTTTTTTTTAAATTCAAATATCATGTATAGTGTATAACACATGTCCGTATAATGTACTTATCAAGGAAATGTTCCGTGAACATACTCTTATCATTATAATTTATGTATTATTCAAAATTCCTTGAAAAATACTGTAGTTCCTAGATTTTATTTTTACAACAAAATGTAATATATCCATATAATGTTCAGTTCAACTATAAGAGAGTCATTCAAAACTTCAATATAATATTGCAATCACTTTCGCAAAACGCAAAAATATGTACTAAATGTTGATTAAAGCCTGAAATAAAAAATAGATAATAAAAGGAGAATTATTAATAAATTAAATAATATTTTAATAAATTAATAAATTAAATAATATTTTAAATTAAAACAAAATTGCATACATATATATGTATATAGTTTTGATTTTGCTATCATAAACGAATATTTAAATTTGAATGTAAATATTAGATTGCTTTTATGAAATTTTATCTTCATATTTAATTTCCTTCTTACTTTTAAATAATACATATCAATAATTTCTGCAACGTTTATAATATGATTAAATAAAATATCATGATTTATGTTACATTGTACATATAACAGTTTTAAATTTATACCGCATATAGGAAAAAAATTGTTCATATATAATACTGCGAGAATAAATAGGAAATGGAATTTCATTTCCAAACTTTAGAAATCAGAACTATTCTTTTTTAACTCAATAACTACAAAATTATATTGGGCCACAGATTCCTCTCGTAAAATAGGAGAGGAAATACGAAATTTTGATTCAGTGTAACTCACTCAATGTAAGTAGTGTTTTAAATGGAACTACTCCTTAAATTTAAACAAGAAAATATTTTTCTAATTATACAATCTTAAAAATATGAAAGCAAAATTATCCTTTAAATTCTTCATTACAAAATATTTCAAATCTTTGAGTTGGAGGTAACAAATTTATCTGATAATCAATCTGTTCTTGCTTGTTTTTTGAATCTATTTTTTCCACTATTTTCTTTATTTTAAGTTTGATATTATCATCCAGAAACATGAAAACAAATGTACACAATTCCCAATAAAATATTCTGAAAATAAAAACCATAAAAAAATCTTTTATCACAATTTCTTTTTTTTTGCAAAAATAAAAATATTAACATATAGAATTTTCTCTTGTCCACTTGGCATAACATAAACTAAACCTAACGGTCGGTTCTTAAGCTCTTCTAAAATTAATTAAAATAAAACTATTAATAAGAAATTAAATTTTAATTTTGTTTTTCTTTTTAAAATGAATTATCTAATATTATCATTTAAATTCGTTATAATTTTATTTATATTAAATAAATTTAAAATAATTCACACAACAGAAATTTCATCTAGAAGAAGATCTCAAAATAATGATCGTTTGAATAGTAGAAGATTTAATAATAATAACGGTGATAATATTAGTTATAATTCATCTAGACGAAATAATAATAATAACAATAATCCTGTAACACGTTGTGAATTACCAATTTTAAATAATGGTGATGTTAAATTAAGGCATCGCGGTAAATTAATACGTTTTGTATGTAATAAAAGTTTTTTTTTAATTGGTAATACTTATGCTGCATGCGGTAATAATGGAAAATGGGATATTGATATACCGGTTTGTGTTAGTAAGTGTTTAGTCAATTTAATATTAGAGAGAGTGTGTATTTTATTGTGATTATATTTTCAGAATGAGGTGAATTCAATTAATATTATAAAATGCTTATTAACAGACCTCTCAACTCAATAAAGAAATTCCTACAGAAAAAATTTTAATATTTAATTTAACTCTTAACTATAAACTTAAATATGTAGTGTATAGTTTTCAGAAATTCAGAAATTTATCAGCGCTAAATTTACAAATCACCAAATTAATTTATTTTTTTTTCACATGTTACCATTATCTCATTCTTATAGTTTTGAGACTTGCCTTAATCACCTATTTTCTGGAAACATAGCATACGTTACATACTTCCATTTTGGAAAACATTGTAATGAAAAAATTCAATTATAAATCCAAATTATTATGAACTCCTTGTTAGTCATTTTAATAACTCTCTTCCTCTGATTCAAATACTAAAGTAAATATCGAACCTGAAAATATAAAAATCAACTACAATAATCTCAACATAAATTATTTAAAAATATTTCAATTTTTAGAACACAAACAAAAAAATAATGAAATTTCAAAACTCTCTATTTTTAAAACACTTTAATTCTTAAAAATTGTCTACAAAAACACATACGTCTAACTTTATTATTTTATTTTATATATAGAAAGGGGTTGTTCTCGAACATTAGAAACTCCAGTTAATGGTTTTATAACATATGAACGTAGTAATTCTATTGCACATTTATATTGTGAGAATGGTTATTCAATAAGTTTTGGAAGAATTTCATATTGTAATGGTACAACATGGGATAGACCGATAGGAAAATGCCGAAAAATCAATAATAAAAAAAATTTACAACGTTTTTGTGATTTTGAAACTGAAGATATTTGTGGATGGCAACAAGATGATTATGATGATTTTGAATGGAAACGTACAACTGGTGTTAATATATATAAAAGAATACGAACTGGACCACAACATGATCATACAACATTAAAATCATATGATGGTCATTATATGTTAATTGAATCTATAAATAGATTATCATTATCATATGCTAGATTAATATCACCAATATATCCAAGAAATTATAGTATAAATAGCTGTTTTAGATTTTGGTATCATATGTACGGTACAACAGTTGGCTCATTAAAAGTATATGTAAAACCATTATCAATTGATATTGATAGTTTACAAGATAATATTGAAACTAGTGGAAGGTAATTGAATCATCCCAGAACATAAAATTAATAATTTATAAGGACTTGTGAACTTATATTAAATAAATATCAACAAAAAATTGATACTAATTAATTTATAATTTTAAATTTTGGTATCTTTATTTCAGTTTTCTCCATTGGGAAAAATCTTATAATCAAGGAAATCATTGGTACGAAGCGGTATTCTTATTAGAAGAATTACAAGAAGATTTTCAAATTATATTTGAAGGAACAACTGGAGCCGGCCATTTAAGTGATATTGCAATCGATGATGTTGCATTATTATTAGGAAATGAATGTTATCTTTTAGAACAAACATCAACTACACCAACCAATACTAATAAAATTAAATATGAAACAGAATTGACTACGGATATTAATAATGAATATACCACTGAAGGTTTTTTACTTAAATAAATTAGGAATTTTCCCAAAAAATATAATTCTTATATAATATTATTTTTCAATACCGTTTTAGATAAACTTACAGGAGCTTTAGATGAAATAACTTGCACTAATAGATGTAATGAAACTGAATCAATAGTAAACAAATCCACATCAAACATTGAACGGATTAATAATACCAATGATTTTATAATGATATGTGATTGTCATTTTGGATGTCAAGAAATAGAAACTTGTTGTTTAGATTATAAACGTACTTGTTTAACATGTTAGTTTTATAAAAAAAAAAATTAAAATACACTTTTATAAACCTTAAATTTGAATTATATTAAATTTTTTTTTTAGTTGAATTCACAAAAGATGAAGAAGAACAAACTGAAAATTTTGAAACTACAATAGAAACACAAACATTTGGAACTACAACTGAATTTATGACAACAGTTAAATTAATCACTGATAGTAGAGACAATATTACTGAAACCCAAACTAATTTTAATTATAAAAAAGATATTGTTCTATCTACAAAGCCATCCAATTTCATAGATCATCCTTTATATACAACTGTTAAAAGTTCATTATCTGATATAAATATGGTAGAGACAACATCCAACATATTATTGCCTTCAACAACAAGAAATTCAGTGTCCCAGCAAAATTCTTATAAAACAAATATTCCAATTAATACAGAATTATCAGCAATCACTTTTCCAACTACCTGGTATGAACAGAAAACAGAAATTCAAACATCAACTAACATAAGAGAAATTCACAATGATGTTGAAGCTTTTACAAATGAAATTCATATATCAACCGGTAATTTACTTTACATTTCAAATTTAATTATTTAATAAACTACAATTACAGTGCATACATAAGTTTATAATATTATTATTTCTTTTTCATCTTAGAAAATTCTAATTATAAAAAATCATCACAATTTAAACCAACTATAAGTAGTACCTCAACTAGTGTTAGATCACCAGAATTTATACCAACTAGTAGTAGCACCAGCACCTCAACTAATAGAATAACTACTACAATACAAACACCAGGCAAACTTCCAGCAAAAAAGAATGTAACGTCAAATGAAACTTCAAAAACGGGCAACAGAAAAGGCAAAAATAATATTTCATCTCTAACAATATTAATAGTAATCATATTAACTATAATTATATTTCTAATAACATTTACAATTGGGCTCTTATGTTCGAATAAATTAAAAAAATTTAATTCGAAAAAAATTCAAATAAAATACTTTAATAGAAAAAATAAAAAAACCACACCATTATTACAAAATAATAATGCCGATTATAATAATGTTCGATATTTAATCAATGATGATGAATTAGATTTTACTTTACAAACTATTGAATTACCAACAAATAATAATCCAAAAGAAAACCTATTAACACCATCTTCTTCCAAATCATTTACGATGCTTCCTTTGACTGAAAAATATGAAAATACTGAAACTAAAGAAAAAATTGCAGATTCAAAGCAAATCGGTAATACAAATTCGAATGTTGACAGTGTTGCATCCAAGTCTACAGAACATTCTCAAATGGAAATAAAAACTAAAGAGCCATCAAAAAAGAAAGTAAGGAAATCATTTAATAACAGCAAAAAATCCCAATTTGATGACAATAATGAAAAAAATCAATTAATACCGTCAGATGTATCAAATGATGAATGCGATATTTGCTTACAATAAGTATACTCATATTATTGTTCTAATTTTTATTCTGTATCAAGAATATTGAAATGTACAGATTTATTTAAAGAGCATAATAAAAAAAATTTTAGTTTATGTTTCAATAAACCAAAAAAAATTCCGAGCTAATAATTTAAGATTTTAATAATTTTTAAAATTTTATTAATAACATCTACTAATTTTTTTGTTAATTCAAGAATATTTTGTATGTACATATCAAAAAAATAATAAATTATTTTATAAAAAATATTAAAAATTAGTTTGAAATATGTAAAAACATTACAATTAAATTTGTTTGCGTTGCATATTCTGAACTAGTTAACAGTTATATATCTCTAGAATATTATACACTCGTAAATGGAATCCAAAACCATTTAGTCGAACGCAAACAATAATGAAGATTAAAGAAAATAGGAGAAATACTGCAAGTCACTTGCATCCTTACAAATTTCAATGGTAACATCGGATCAGACACGCCTCATAAATCCAGGTCTTTGAATTGATCTTCTCTCATAAACATAAATTCCAAGTCTCATCAATCTCCTTTTAGATGAGAAATAGCATTCCGATACAACGTACAGATTTTGAGCTTCCATATAGGATCAACACATTGAAACTCTATCATAATAGTCTCTTGGCTCTGCCAGACAATATGCGTATCATTACACTATGTATGCGACGGAATTAGTTAATAAAATTTGAATACATACATATGTATGTAGATATGATAATAAAACAAAAATAGGTAAATAACGCTCATAATAATCGATTACTACATTAATAACCCTTATTCACATACAAATAAAAAGCGTAGAAAATTCCTTAAAATGTACATTTATGTTATGTAGGTATAAAAAATATTAATTAAATATTTATTATTGGATAATTAAACATTATTTTGATTATAAAAAATTATTTGGGGAAACAGGGGAACTGCGATACATTATAATCATTAAAATATGTATTTGATAACGAGTAATAATATTTAGCCCTAATACATTTGAATAAATATAATAAAGAATATTATGTATAATTGTGTACAATTTATTTTCGACTTAAACTTTTGTCACATAAAGCAAACTTTCTTTTCGAAAAATCTAAAGTTTACGAATTGATTTACAAACAGTATTAATATCGAATTACATATTAATACTATAAGCGTACATAATTCAACAATTAGAGCTCATAAGGTAAATTATTTAACAGAACCATCTGGTACCATATTAGTAGAGCGGTTTTAATGGATCCATATCTAATATAAATTTCAACTAATTGATTATATTCAGATTTATACAAATAAATTTATACCGAAAATACATACATGAAATACAGAAAAAATTCATGATTTTTGTATAGCAACAATGTATTAAACAAATTACCAGCATCAATACGACATATTTGAAAAATAATATAATCTTTATCAGGAACAACATCGCAAAGACATTTTATCACAGTAAAATACAATAATCTATTCGTATAGCCAAATTTCTTAGTATGAATATGCAAATGCTAAACGTGATAAGTATAAAAAATATTTTGAGTTTCATTTCACAAAACTATGTACTTAAGTGAATGCGTATGTTTTCAAAGTACATGCATATGGCTAATGTTTAAGGTATATTTAACACCATCACATCTTGGTACCTATATGAAGTATTTTAAATATTTTCTTATCACTTTTATTTAATAATTTTTTTCTGTATTTGTTTTATAAATAGGTATATAAAAACAAAATAATTCTTATTCAAATTATATGCAAAATACATACATACATAATGTAGTTTAGATAAGAGAGCAGATGAACTTTAAAATTTGACAAATGTTTATATTTTAATTTGATATGTACGCACGTATATAGTTACATATGATTGCTTACCTACAAAAATTAATTAGATACTTTTAATATTGGCGTCTGTAAGGTATAAGCAAATTATTAATTTATATATTATTATTATTAATTATTAATTCATAATAATTAAGGCAGTGAGCATGCAAAATAAAAAGTAAATTAAATAAATTAAACATTTATTATTAATATATAATTGTACACAAAAATACAATCAACATTTTTAAATATCCCCTATAAAGTACTCGTACGTATACACAAATATGTATGTGACGGTTAAAAAAATATATTTTATTTTTTCATTCGTATAGAGAAATGAAAATAAAATTATTTTAAATCTTGTTAACTTTAAGACATTTTTCAATTTCTATGCGATAAATTAAGTAAAATTCCAATACTTTTCTTGAAATCTATCTAAACTCTACGGTGAAACTTATCTTCCAGATTTAATAGGAAGTAACATAGAAATTAAAGTATCCGTAATTAAATGACGATTCTCATGCAAAAGAAATTTGTATACATAGGTACCTTGCATTAGACGGAATTAATCAGTAAAATTAAAAGCCACATTATTGCATTATGGAACTAAAAATATGAGTAACTGAGCTTTTACATTCATTAAACTTCTCTTCTTTTTGTTAATCTCTTTTTTTTATATTGTCCCATCATAAAATTACTAAGTGTTATAAATCAATTTTATGGAAATTCAAGTATAAAATGCCACTGAAATTATATTGATATCATAATATTATTATAGTAAACCTGTTAAATATTAGTTTGTATTTTTTTTTTAATTTTAATTTATATTAAAAGGGCAATCCATTTTACAGTTCTTAAAAAGTAGTAACAACAAAATTTTAAAATAATGAATATGCAAAATCTAAATATTAATTGTTTTTCATCTAAAGTTTTCGATTTTGAATTAACCTTAGAACAAAAAGATTGTGTTTCCAATAAGATGGTTTTCTGATAGCTCCTACAAGATAGTGGACTTACACACTAAACTATAATTTTTTTAAATATTTTGCGATCAACACCATTACCTTAAAAAATTAATATTTTAATTCTAAAAAAATAAGAAAAATTAATTAAGATATGCGTGCATAAAATTTCGAAAAACTTTGAAATACGGATAGCCCTTTATTATCATACATTAAGATAGTATAAATTGAATGTACATGTATGCACATATATATATATGTATAATATAAAAAAAGCAAAGTTTATTATTTTATAAAATATAAATAAAAGGTTTTCTCAAGCTCATTCAGTTTTAAACAAACCCTCTCCGGTGTTGTATTGCGATATTACTCACTGTAAAGTTATAATTTCTATCGTTAGTAATTTATTTTGTAACTTTGCAAGTTGAAATAGTTAAAAAAAAATTTAATATGCCTCAATCTAACAAAAGTATGTAAATATGAATACATCTATATGGATATAGCGTATGAATTTATATATAATGAAGTGATAAAAGTGTATATGATTAAATTAAACTAAACACATTAAAATAATTACCAAATAATAGTACAAAAAATACTTCTGAAGAAACAAATACCTACATACATTATATTCATGAAAATTATATTACAGAATGCCATTGTGGACCTGGTTATGCCACTCCAATGGATGCAGTTAAAAATGGCCCAAAAGAGAAACTATTATATGTTGTAACTGTTCAACCTAATATTGATGAACCTCATGGGGATTACTTGTCAACAGTTGATGTTGACCCTTCAAGTCCAACATATTGTCAAGTAAGTTAAAAAAAAATCCGAATTTATATTAACTTTATGTACATATTTTTAAAAAAAAAAATTAAGGTGATACATCGTACTTTCACAAATAATAAAGGAAACGAATTACATCATAGTGGATGGAATGCTTGTTCAAGTTGCTATGAAATTGATCCAAATTCAGAAAAAATTCCAAAACGTGATAAATTAGTTTTACCATGTTTAATTTCTGATCGAATTTATATTATTGATGTTGGAAAAGATCCAAGAAAACCAGAAATTTATAAAGAAATCGATGGCGACGTATTAAAATCGGTTAATTGCAGTGCCCCGCACACAACACATTGCTTAGCTGACGGTAATGTAATGATTTCAACAATGGGTGATGCTAAAGGAAAAGCGAAAGGAGAGTTTGTTCTATTCGATTCAAATTTTAAGTGCATTGGTACTTGGACAAAAGGTGAAAAAATAGCACTATGTGGTTACGATTATTGGTATCAACCGTATTTTGATGTAATGGTTTCGTCCGAATGGGGTGCACCTGAACTATTTCGAAGGTAAAAGTTAATATATTTTTTTTTCATTATTCGCAAATATGTCTGTAAGAATTCGGTTTCTTGAGTCAGTTTTTCTTTACATAATTATTTTGAAATAAACCAATTTCATAAAACATTTGCGTACTACAATATTGATTCTCTTTCTGTGAAACAATAAAATGAAAATTGACTAAAAGTAATACAAAGCCAAAAAAGGGACAAGAATATCTACTTAGTTTAATTTAACGTTTAAATAATTTTAAAAAGAACTGGTAATCATTAAGAATGCAATTTTTTAATCAAACTCTGCTTTCAAAGTCTGATCAAAATCAAAAATCACTAAATTTTCTCTATTTTATTTCTTAGAGGTTATCAACCGTCAGATTTGGATGATATGACACAATACGGAAAACGCTTAAACTTCTATCAATGGTCAACTCAAAAATTAATACAAACGATTGATTTAGGTGAAGAAGGAACTACACCATTGGAGATAAGATTTTTGCATAACCCAAAAGAACCTCAAGGTTATGTCGGAACAGCCCTGTATTCGAAAATTTATCATTTTAAAAAGAAACCAAACTCAATGGAATTTGAAGCCAAGAAAGTGGTTGATATTCCAATAAAAAAAATTAAATTACCTGATGGTTCAGAACAATCACTAAATGGAATGTTAACAGACATTTTAATATCTCTTGATGATAAATTTTTATATTTGAGTAATTGGTTGCACGGGGATGTTCGTCAGTATGACATATCAGATCGTGAACACCCCAAATTAACAGGACAGATATTTCTTGGAGGAAAAATTCAAAGTGATTCCGGAGTTAAACTATTAAATGAAAATATTGTGAGTTTAATTTTTAGTTAATTAGTTGATAAAAACAATAAGTATATACATATGTATATAAAAACCTTTGATATAGATATGAACTTAATTTAAAAAAGCATTTTTTTAAATATTGTTTATGTACGTATGAATGTACGTACTTTTAATTCAATCTTTTAGAAATTACCTGAACCAACGATTATCAAAGGACGGCGTCTATATGGAGGACCACAAATGCTGCAGTTATCATTAGATGGCAAACGTCTTTATATTTCATCTTCGTTATTTTCACCATGGGATAAACAGGTTACAATACAAATTATATCATATAAGTGCTGAAGCACTCTTGTATTCTATATATAAGGGCTGCTTCACAGTTAATGGTTTCCTTCATATTTTTACTTAATTTTTATTTCAGTTTTATCCTGAAATGGTTCAACACGGTGGAACAATAGTCCAAGTTGACTGTTTACCCAATGGCGGAATGCAATTAAATGAAAACTTTTTAGTTGATTTTGGTAAGAATGAGCCATATGGTCCCACACTTCCACATGAAATGCGTTACCCCGGTGGAGATTGTACATCAGATATTTGGTTAGCTAAGGATTAAATATAATTACCAAAATACAATTATTAGATACAAAGAATTATAAAAATTAAAATGAATATAATAAAGCACTTACAAGCTGATAATTTGAATATTTTCTTTATTGGCCTTTATTTAGTGTTATAATGGGCGCGTCATGCGGCATACGATTGCCAAACAATAACGGTTTCGACCTTCATTATTACCTACGTCTACATGCCGGCTTTTGCAAAAGTCATCATGTAAACGCAGCTATTAAGATATGACTTTTTCTGACATTTTATAGAGCTTATTATTTTTTAACAAATGAGTAATCTAACGTTCGTTCTTTTATTTCATATTACGCAAATATAGCAAGTTTTTGTCATTCTTTGATTGGTTGGAAATGCGACACAGCTTTATAAAAGAATGGAAATGAAAATTCAGCTGATTGTAAAGAATTAAAATTTAATAAGTTTTAAAATTTAAAATTTGAATGAGTTACTTTTACATTTAAATTAACTGAGTTATAATATGATTCAGTCTCAAGAAGGAACCTATAAAGCTATTTCCGAACGCAAATGCTATTTTGGTGAAATTTTACGTAAACACAAATATTTAACAAGCAACTATTCACAATTATTTTACGAATTCTACTTGTCTATTTCATTTGAAGTTTAAAATGTACGTAAGGAACCATATAATCAATACAATGAACATTTTTACCTCAAATTGAAAAACACTTGAGTTCCCATTTTTAAATTTTTCTTAAGAATTTTGTTGTTAAAAATTTTAAAATTTTCAAGATGATTAAGAAAAACTATTAGTATTTTTATTTAATGGTTTGGTGCAGACAAATATTGTTTGTGTTATTTTAAATTATATTGCAAAATAATAGTTTGGATTTCTTCGGAATCATCAAATAAAAGTTGTACGATTTTGTCAAAATTAAAAAAGATGGATTGTTTGACATTTCCTAAACAGAAAATTGGTAAAGTACTTTTTAAAATATTTGCACTTACGTGGTATCACAGTTTTGCCAGCGATATTATATTATAATATACATACAATCTTTTAAAGAATCTGTCCTAGTGTGTAGTGACATTCAAAATTTTTCCTTATTGTCTAAAATTAGACAATTTTATCAAATTAAAAAGGTTGTTAAAACCATATGAATTCCCAAATTATAAAATTTTGTAAAAAATGGGTAGTAAGGAAATTCGATTAAAAAGAAAAGGTAAGAGAGATTCTGCTGCCTGTCTATTCATCTTGTACGTCTATGAAAATGACAACATAACATAATGTCACTTGACTTTTGCAACAAAAGTCAACTATATTTTATGTTAGGAGCGTTGTCAATTATGACATTAAAAAATATGGTCATACGTGAACTAATTTAACATCAATATTGAAATTTTTTTAATCTCAATAAGTACTTATAAATTTTGATCATGTCGTCGTCTGCAATATATATTTTAGATGTTAAAGGCAAGGTAATTAAGTGTGAAATAATTTATATTTACTTTACAATTACCATTCAATATGGAAGAAGTTCCCATAAAAAATTATTTATCTAAGTAGGAGTTTCTACTAATTTTACTTTTTGAACAACTTAATTATTTCAGGTGTTAATTTCGAGGACATATCGTGGCGATATAGATTTGTCTGTTATTGATAAATTTATGCCTCTGTTAATGGAAAAAGAAGAGGAAGGATTAATCACTCCCATTATTCAAACAACAGAATGCACATTTGCCTACATCAAAACCAACAATTTATATATTGTTTCAACAACTCGAAAAAATGCCAATATCGCTTTAGTTTTTGTATTTTTGCATAAAATTGCACAAGTATTTATTGAATATTTTAAAGAACTTGAGGAAGAATCAATTCGAGACAACTTTGTTGTTATTTACGAACTTTTAGACGAATTAATTGACTTTGGCTATCCTCAAACAACTGATAGCAAAATATTACAAGAGTATATCACCCAAGAAGGTCATAAATTGGAAATTCAACCAAGAATACCGATGGCTGTGACGAATGCCGTGTCATGGAGATCTGAGGGAATTAAGTATAGAAAAAATGAAGTGTTTTTGGATGTTATTGAATCAGTTAACTTATTGGCTAATGCTAATGGAAATGTGTTGAGGAGTGAGATTGTAGGTGCTATTAAAATGCGTGTTTACTTATCTGGAATGCCAGAACTAAGATTAGGACTAAATGACAAAGTACTTTTTGAGAGCACAGGCCGCGGAAAATCAAAATCGGTTGAGTTAGAGGACGTTAAATTTCATCAATGTGTTAGACTTTCTAGATTTGAAAATGATAGAACGATCAGTTTCATTCCACCAGGTAAAAAAAAATGATATTAAAAAAAGAAATAAAATAAAATGTTGGTTTTTATTGAACCATTTTATTAGATGGGGAATTTGAATTAATGTCATATAGATTGAATACGCATGTTAAACCATTAATTTGGATTGAATCTGTAATAGAACGGCATGCTCATAGTAGAGTTGAATATATGATAAAAGCCAAATCACAGTTTAAACGTCGATCGACTGCAAATAATGTCGAAATCGTTATTCCAGTTCCAGGAGATGCAGACTCTCCGAAATTCAAAACTACGATTGGTAGCTGCAAATATGCTCCAGAACAGAATGCCATCACATGGACTATTAAATCATTTCCCGTAAATAAATTTTGATTTTACTAAAAATTACAAATGTAAAAATTCGCATGACATTTTTAGGGTGGAAAAGAATACCTTATGCGTGCTCATTTTGGTTTACCAAGTGTAGAGTGTGAAGATTCCGAAGGAAAACCACCAATTCAAGTTAAATTTGAAATACCTTATTTTACAACATCTGGAATCCAAGTGATTTTTACTAAATTTTTTTTTTTTTTGAAAATAATTATTTCAAGTGTATTTCCAGGTACGATACTTAAAAATTATTGAAAAAAGTGGATACCAAGCACTTCCTTGGGTCAGATATATAACACAAAATGGTGATTACCAGCTAAGAACTAATTAAGAGTACCCGTCGAAAAAAAAAATATGCTTCAGCACACATTTTTAAAAAAGTATTTAGATCTTGTTTTCGTAAAGATAATTTTAATTGAAAAGACACTAGTATTAATACAAAAAAAAGCGTCGAAGCAAATTATATATACAATTTTTATAAAGTTTATTGTTGATAAAATACTAAATAATTTATGTATATGTATTAAATTTAACTAATAATTCAATAAGTGTCTAGTTTATTTTGGGAAAATTTAAAAAAATTTTTGTTTAGGTTTGACTAAATTTAACTAATACAAATGGAGCCTTCATCTGACTAAATTTTAAATGATTTAATTAAATTCAAAAATACAACAATGTAGAATGAAGAAGATGAGGTGTAGAAATAATGTTATTAAGTAGTTTTATTTATATGTTTCTTCTTATGCTCATTTAAGTTTCTTCTATTCATAAAATTTTGATCACATGAATCGCATTTAAATGGTTTTTCTCCAGTATGAAAGTTGAGATGCTCTCTTAATTTACATTGTAGTATAAAAGTTTTTTCGCAAAATTCACATTTGAACGGCCACTCTTTTGGATCCACATGACTTTTTACCCTGTGTATGCTAAGTCGACTCTAAAATGTAATTTCATAAACAGTATAAAACAAAAAACAGAAATTAAACTCACAGAAGTCATGAACTTTTGACCACAAACATCGCATTGATAGCCGAAAACTAAAATGAATTTTATTTTTTAAAATTATTGATTATACATTATTGTTTATTTTTAATTTATGTTTAATTCTAAATTAAATATTTACAAAGAAAGTTCAACAAAGTGATAATATATATACATATTCATAATATTAGTTAATCTATCTGCACCGAACAACATCAAAAACCTCGTTTTTAAATTATTGAATTTATTGAATTTAGTGATTATATTTGAAAAGAAAAATTGTAAGTTTTTATAAAAAGTCAGGTGTCTTTCGTGTGGCTAATTTTGATCCAATCATGAAACTGCCTATGGATCAAATGAGGATTTAAACACTTTTCGAAAAAATAATTATATTTTAAATTTAACAAGTGTTTAGTTTAGCAAAAAAATGATTCTTAAAAAATTACCTTTTAGATGAATATTTTTAATATGACGTTTTCTCAATTCCTTCGTCTTAAACTTCTTATCGCAATCTTCATATGTGCAAGAAAAATTATATGTATCCGTGTGTTTATATATATTATGAGTATTCAAATTATCTTTTGTTGTAAAGGCAGCTGCACAAAGCTCACACTTGAACGGTCGTTCCCCTGTGTGTTTCCGTTTATGGTATTTAAGAAATCTTAAATCTCTATACGATTTATTGCAAAATTCACAATTTAAGTTTCTGTTTTCATGTAAACGTTGGTGCCTTTCCAAAACATTAATAAAAAAGAAATTCTTATTACAGTACTTACAAGATAATGCTTTTCTTTTACCAACTTGCTTTCTTGGTTCTACTTGTTTTGTTGTTTTAAATTTGAAATTGGTTTCGTGCTTTATATTATTTTCATGTTCAATCCTATGCTTTTTCAAATTGCTCACACTTTTCTCACATAAAGGGCAAACACCATTTTCACTGTGTTGAAAAACATGATCCAAAAAAGTTGAATTTGGATATTTAACCAAACATATTTGGCATGTTAAATATCTATTTTTTATATTTGACTTCTCATTCAAGAATTTATTTTCAACGAAGTTTTCACTGTTTAAATAAATTTCTTCTTGATTTTCAGTTTCAAATTCTAAATTAATTTTTTGATCACTGTCATTCCATTCTAGAACTTCAGAATCAAATATTTCAGTAGAATTTTTATTTTGACTGAAATCCTTATTTTGTAATGTTATAATTACTTCATTTGTTTCAGCTAGTTCATTTTCCTGTAAATCACTATCTTCTTGAGAAAATTGATATTCTATTTCTTTAATAATATCCACTTTGTCATAATATGTAGTTGTACAGGAGTCCTGCTCAGAATCAATTTCACTTTTTATTGATTCCAAATCATGTTCAGTTACTGGTTCTATTTTAATAGGGAAATAGTTGCTATCATTATCGTAAAGTTCTTTCGACTCAAAATGTTGTACCATATAATGATCCTCATAATATTCAATATTATCAAACCACTCTCGGCAAATCACACAATTATAAGAATATTTTCCTTGATATGTGATGTATATCTCGCCACATTTGAAATTATGAAACCTTGCCATTTAGTTTTTCTTTTAAATTAAGATAAGCTAATCACTAAAATGAACAAAACCTTATTTCTAAAGCTCAATTTAGGTTTAATTAATTAGTACTTAATTCAATAACACTTTTTTGTTTATTTTTTTTTTCTACAGCAAGAAAAATCTGACTTTGACAACAAACAAATATTTGACAACAATATTTGACAGTTATCAAACAAAATTTGCATAGTGTTATATTTAGACATACAAAACCTGGCGTATTAATCTTGTACATTTACATACACATGTAGTATATTTGTTTTCTGGAAGTCAGAAGACGCCTTCGCTCAAACAAATTAAATTTACTAGAAAATTCAGAACATGGACAGTTGGAGAAAAAACGGAACGTTGGTACTTATTAGGGAAAAAGAAAAAAACAATTATACATGCGTTTCTATAATAGAAGATATATTTATTTTTCAATAATATCCCAGTTTTCAGGTTATCCGCTTTTATTTTATATTCTTCTTTATTAATTTTTGTAGGAATTAATTAATAATTTTGACATAAAGCTATCAGATAATTTCAGTCATCAGAGCCAAAAACTTTATCGTATTTGCCATCTGAAAAAAACTGTTCACATACAAGGTTTAACAGTGACTGATATCATACAGTGTTGATCCCATACAGTATTTACACAAACAACTTTTAACAGACCAGCTATTTGCTTATTGCGGTACCTCTGAATTTGACTTTCAAACGTCACTAACAATTTTCACTTATTTACTAACCTAAAAGTAAAAATTTAGTGTCATCCTCTGACAAACAACTTTTGTAGAAAAAAAATAAGCTGCATTTTAATTTTAAAATTTTAAAATATAATATTTAAAAAAATTGTAACAATGTCCATTCTTGGCTATAATGGTGGCTGCGTGGTAGCAATGCGTGGCAAAGACTGCGTAGCGATTGCAACTGATCATAGATTTGGCGTTAGAGCTCAAACAATTTCAACTGATTTTGAGAAAGTATTTCAATTAAATCCACATTTGTTTCTTGGACTAGTTGGCCTGCAAACTGATATATTAACTGTTAAAGATCGTCTAACATTTCGAAAAAATTTATATGAAGTGAAAGAAAATAGATTAATGTCTCCTGAAAGATTTTCCGCAATGTTAACAAGTTTTTTATATGAAAGGCGTTTTGGTCCTTATTTTGTGGAACCGGTAATTGCTGGACTGCATCCTAAAACTTATGAACCTTATATTTGTAACATGGATTTATTAGGAAATTCAAATACTCCTGAAGATTTTGCAGTAGCTGGTACATGTGCTGAACAGTTGTTTGGTATGTGCGAAACGCTTTGGAAACCCGATCTGGAACCCAACCAGTTATTTGAAGTTATTGCACAATCCATGATAAATGCATTTGATCGGGATGCTGGTAGCGGTTGGGGTGCGAGTGTTTATATTATTGAGAAAGATAAAATAACTGTTAAGAGAATAAAAACAAGAATGGATTAGATATCAGATGAAATTTTGGTGGCCTGGTATTGTAATAAAAACATTCTTTTACAACTATAAATTTTATAACTTTAAATAAAATACTTAAAAACAAGAACTTTTTTTTTTCAATTTAAAATAATTTCATTTCATGACGAAGTAATTTAATTTACAATATTTATTAAAGACTTATGAAAATTTTTAAAAATAATTTTAGCATGAAATATAATTATACATAATATGGGATCTCTATGTGAAGTGACTTCTTAATAAATTTATTCTCAAATGATAAAATCTGAAATATCCATATGAACATAAAATTTAAACAAAACGAAAGCATAAAATTTTTGAATACCAATATTTATTTCAGTATATTCAAGGTTATAATATATATATATGTATATGTGTATTTATGTATATATATTATCCACTTAAGTCTGAAAATAATTCTATAAATTACTTTAAATATTTACTAAAATTAAAAAATAAATCACTAATGTTTTTTAATCTCGTCATTTTTATTTTATTTTTTAAAATAAATAAACTATTAATCAACTTATTGTAATTTAATAATAATATTTTCAGTGTCCCCACTATCCCCACAAAAAATTTAAAACATTTAATATACATTTAAATAAATTTAGATAAAAACTATCACTATCCATGTATGTTTAATAGTATAGTTATTTATTATACAGGTTTTTTTTTAAATTTTACTCTTATTTCAAAAAGAAAATATAGTAGCATGAAAACACCTTTGTCAAATTCAAACCATTCATTTATCTCCATTTAAAGTTTTTTATTCTGAAAAATGATTTTAATTATGTTTTTTCACTCAAGGTTTATAAACTGTTATACGAAAATGCTTAAAAGGAAATCTTTTTTTAAATATCCTTTAAGATTTTATTTATTTCAAAAGAAATTTTGAATCTTAGATTGATAAAAAAAATTTTATATTGAATACGTTTAATTTGTAATCACACGATCTCATTAAGCTACTCCAATTAAAATTTATTATACGAGGATTATAAGGACCTTTATTTGAAGTTATTTGACCATTATATAAAAATAAAATATATGAGGGTTTCATAAAATATTTTGGTCAATTTTAGATTCACAAATAAAATTTTCAAAAAAGATGTATCTTGATATTTTAATGCTTTTCCAAGAATAAAAAATTTAATAAAATACCTTTCTAATATATAAACCAGAATAATTATATAACCTTTTCTTACATTGTTTCAAATTGAATATACATAATAATATAATCGTTTTTATATTTTAATAATGAAACTTATATTAAATACACGCATTTATCCTAGCTTACCTTGCAAGATCATAAAATGTGCAGCAAACTATCGAAATATATAAAAAAAAAAAATTCTTTTTAAATCATTAATTACAGCCTATATCAAGTTACATCAAGTTGTGCATCCATATTTTTAAATTTTCTTTAATTAATTTTTAATGTTTCAAAATTTTCATTACAACTTTTTTATCATTACATAAGTTATACATATATTAAAAATCAAACCAGTTGACACTATAACACATTATTATATTGTATAAATATTAACGAGCTTGAAATATTTGTAATATTATAATATTAAATTGGTTATAATCGAGAAAATTCATTTTCAATGCATTGTATTGAAAATTGTAAAATATTCTATCATATATATATGTATATTTTTATGTATGTGTGTATATCTATATTACTCCATTATAAATGGCTATACGTAATTTTTTTAAGAGTTTCTTTATATTTTTGTTAATACGATCCAAAAATTTCTTCAAAATACATAAATGCTTAAAAATTATTATTTTTTTTTTATATATCATATCCTAATTGAAATGGAAATGACGAAACAATTAATATTTGAAAAATTATAATAAATAATTATTCGAGACTTTGTATTAAAATGTCACAATTCATAACATATGTTGTTCATGTGATCTCGCGTTTTCCTTGGTGTTGTAAAAGGCCCATTAATCATAGTTGAAGAATTATTTTGATAAGATGTTTTTAGATTTCGATTTAATTTAATACCACTATTAATACTACTATCATTACTATCAGATACACCAGCTCCAATGCAACTGAATGGATTTGATAATCTGCTTCCACTGCCGAATGATGCAGAATCATCTTTAACTTGTGTATAATTACGTGCTGAAAATGTACTTGTATAATGAGAGCGGGCTGTATTGTTACGACCCCCACCAAAACAACGCATTGCAGCACATATTAAACTGCACCATCGCCATGATGACGGAGCGGTTGCTGCTGTAAAACCACTTAACGTATTTGCTGATTTTGATAAGAAGTTATATTGTGATTTTTGTTGTTGTTCATTCATCTGTTGATTACTGTATATAGAATTATATTTAGAGCGAAAATTACTACTTAAAAAGCTTTGGCGATGTTGATTATGATAATGAGAGTGTTGTTCATTAAAGAAGTTATTGGTGCTTTTTAAATTACAGTTGTTACCAGTTATATTCGTCATTTCTATAGTATTATTGTTAATGGAATTAAATTCTGAATTAGCAGTAGAATTCATTGATGGATAATTATATGTTTCAGTACATTCTTCACTAGCAGGGGCCCCGGTATCATTATCGAAGTCGCGATCTATGGAGACAGCTGGAGTTATAATCAAGAATTTTGTTGAATCTGGTAGTTGATGAGAATTGTTACTTGAATAAAATGGATTTTTATTTAGTGAACTATTATAATTAAATTGATTTCCGGAAGATGGTGGTGATAACGAATTATTAGGAGATGTAATAAATGCTGAAACTGTTGTCGTACTTGCAGCTACAGTAGTTATTTGAGAACTAATTGAATATCGATTAATAATAGATGTTATTGCTTGTAAATTATTATCAACACTAACTGTAGATGATAATTGTAGTTCTGGTGAGTGAATTGGTGTTGACGTTGAAGAAGATGTTGTAGATGATGAGTTATTCGAGTGATCATTTAATACTGTTGTATTATTTAAAAGAGTTACGGTTGAGTTAGCTAATGAAGTTGAATTATTTTGATATTGATGATTACAATGACTATATATACTGCTATTATTATTCGAATGCTGATCATTTTGAGAGGCATTTAACGTTGATGTAGCCGGTGAAGTTGTTGGAGTTGATCCCACAGATGGCATCCATCATCTTGATTCTTCATTCCCACTAGAACTATCTTCCGGCTTAACAATTTGGTAAGTAATCAAGTACTCCGGATAAGCCTTTATAATAATATTTGATAAAAAAAAGTAATGCAAAGTTAAATTATAATTACCTGTTCTCCGCGGTATACAACGTATTCTGTGAAGTGCAAACCGCCGGCTGAAGGTCTACCTATAACAGAATGATGACCAGGCGGAGCATGAGCCATTTTCATGGCGCTATATTGCAAAAATGATTTTCCCAGAGCTACTCGACAAAGTAGTAATTGTCTAAAAAAAAAAGTTTATATTGCTATTGGAGTGCAATATTTATGTATTATCTACTAACCTTGGACAAACATAACAGGATTTGTCTTTATGAGAAGGACAACCAATACCTCCACCGATTCCGTAAACATACTGGTTGCTTTTTGAGCTGTGCTCAGCAAAATAAATTCCCGCACCGAACATTCCGCCAATATACGCATGTCTTTCGTCAAAGCCTTTCTGAACAATTGCGTTGATAAATGGACTTCCATGAAAAAGCATCCTTTCATTAGCCTGCAAAGTATTCTCTTCATAAACTTCTTGTCTACGATGAATATATCTTTCCCACAATTTCCTGTTTTGGACTTTTTGAACCTTTTTTTAAGAAAGCACTTTAGAGTTATATCAGTTTTTGGTATTTACATAATATTTACCCTAATAATGTTATATCGACTAAAATAACCACCAGATTGACCATTATCTCTGTGTTCTCTTATCGTCGCTTGCATTTCTTCCTCCACAGCTACAAATTCTTTATCATCTGGTAATAAGTCAACTAACAAAGTTCCTGGGTTTAAATTCGCTGTTCCAATACCTGTGGTTTGCCTCAACTGAACTATTCCCTTCAAAATTTTATGTCTAAAACCATATGCTGAAACACCAACTTGCTTTAAGTCTTCATGACCCATTTCTGCTAAAATTTCCAACGTGATTTGCTCACGTTCGAAAAGGTCTATCAAGTGATCTAACTGAAGACTTGCAAGGAAAGTTGCAACGCTAGATATCGCATCTTGTTCTGAACAAGCTTCATCTCCTATCATATCAGATGAATTAGCTTCTGCCAATTGATGCCCTATTGATGAGTTCAATGCCGCATTTGAACTTAATGGGACAGGAACACTTAAAGTTAGAGATGCACCTGTTGGCAGTGTAACAGTTTCAGTAGTTGGCGAAATAGTTGTCGAAGCGACTGGTGCTGATGCCAAGGCAGTATTCGATGCTGTTATTATAGAACTATGAACCGCGTTATTGCACGCAGTGGGTTCAGGTAATATGGGAATTTTCGTCATACTACCATTCGTATTAGTGACAGTAGTATTTCCTATAGAAGTTTGTATATTATTTAAGGAGAGAACGGAAGCATGATTTGATAGAGAGGTTGTCATTGCATCTTGTAATAAGCATTTCACATCGTCAGCTGTTGCTAGTTCTATAGGAGTCTGTGATTCTTGATTTTTTGTGTAAGGATCTGCTCCGTGTGCTAGTAGCAAGGAACATAATTGCGTTCTACCTTTTTGAGCTGCCTCATGCAAAGGCGTGAAACCCCATTTGTCAGTTGCATTAACCACAGTCTTATATTTAATTAATAATGCTGCAATATCTAAGTGTCCATAGGATGATGCATTATGTAATGGAATCAATCCCCCTTTATCTTGAGCATTAACGTCAGCGCCATTTTCAAGGAGGTATTCAGCAACTTCATAGTTGTTATAACCGGCTAAAATGTTACATGTTAATATTTTTTCTTAACACACACTGCAAAAAGATTACCTGCTAAATGAAGAGGTGTAGAATTTCGACCTTGCGCATCCCTACAGTTTATATTCTCAGGTGTTACTAACCGTTGAACTCTAGCTAAGTTACCTTTTTTGGCAGCATCCAATAATGCAGAGTTTCCTCGAAGCAAATCTGCAACATCTTGATCTCCTTCTCGAACTATAAATTTAGTATAAGTTGTCAAGCGTGGACATTAAAAAAAATAGCATTTGAAATGAAAAATTTAAAAATGTATTGTCATTACCTAAATCTAAAGGAGTGGCCCCATCCCGATTTTTTTTACTTGGATCGGCTCCATGTTTTAATAACAATTTCACTATCTCAAATTTACCTTTCGCTGCAGCTTCATGAAGCGGAGTAAATTTCCACAAATCGGCTACATTTACATTAGCTCCATGCTTAACTAACAGCTCTGTCACCTCAAAATGACCGTAAGAACATGCGTTGTGCAAAGGTACCAAACCACCTTTGTCTGCAGCGTGAACTTCCGCTCCATGTTCCAATAGAAACTCAACAACAGGTACTCTATTGTAGCCTGCTGCAAAATGTAAAGGCGTTGAGTGCCTTCCATCTAAATCACGGCAATTAACTGTATGTGAATTTGCAATAACAATTCGTCGAACAGTATCCAAATCACCAGCCTTTGCTGCTTCCAATAACTGACACTCTACGACATCTGTGTCTGGCGGATTTTTTAAAATTTTTAGTACATTATCTGAAGCCAATTGTGCTGCTGTGAGATTTTGCAATGATACTATGCTTGTATCTATTGAGTAAGATAGCAAAAGACGACAAGCTTGAATGTTATCATCGCGCGCACATCTATGTAGCGCCGTTTGTCCTAAACCATCTAAAGCATTTACTTTTGCTCCATTTTTTAACAAAATATCCATTATATCATAATGCGAATTATCTGCAGCTATGTGTAAAGATGTCAGAAAATCTTTATTTTTTTCGTTAAGTAATGCACCTTTTCGTATTAAAATTTCTAAAATCTTTAAATCATTTGTTGGTTATTATAATACAAAATTAAATTTTAAATTTTTATTCTCACCTGCTTTCGTTTTGGATAAACTGACATGGCCACTGCATGAAGTGGAGTGTCACCACTGTAAGGATGAATGAAATTCACAGTTTCAGAAGTTAAATACTTTTTGAGTTTCGAAATATCTGCTTGCCGGCAAGCATCTAAAACTCCGTGCCCTTTATATTCGTCTAAAAAAAAATATTAAATTTTATTAATATTGTAATATTTGTAAGTATGGAATTTTATTTTACTTACACGCAATCCTTTCTCTCAATTCTCTTGTGGGAGCTGAATCAATAGCAGATTTGTTGTGGCAATTTAGCAAAGTAGGATCTGCTCCTTCACTTAGCAGTAAACTACAAACTTCTATACGACTTTTAGACGAAGCTTCGTGTAAAGGAGTGAAAGCCCATAAATCGTTAGCATTAACATTCGCTCCATGTTTTATTAAAAGTTCTGTAACTTCGAAGTGACCATATGAGCAAGCATTATGCAATGGAACCAATCCACCTTTGTCTTTTGCATGTACGTCTGCTCCATGTTCTAATAAAATTTGAACAATTCTAATTCGATTATAACCAGCTGCTAAGTGAAGTGGCGTGGAGCGTCGTCCATCACTTGCATGGCAATTAACATTTAAGGGAGTCAAAAATGATAAAAGTTTATCTTCAGCTCCAGAACGTGCCGCCTCCAATAGTTCATCTTTTCGATACTCCCCAGTCAAAACAGGTCTCGTATTTTCATCAGCCAGCTCTAATGGTGTTTTTTGTTCAGAATTTCTAATATTAGAATTGGCGCCATGTTGAAGTAAAGCTATACAAACATCCACTTTTCCTTTACTAGCGGCTTCATGAAGTGGTGTATAATTCCAATTATCTGTCGTATTAGGGCTAGCCCCAGCTTCTAAAAGTAAGCGTACTACTTCAGCATGCCCGAATGAACATGCGTTATGTAAAGGATGTAAGCCCCCTTCATCACAAGCTTGAATAGAAGCTCCATTCGACAAAAGATATTCAACGACTTCTCTTCGCCCGTAACCTGAAAAATGTTCAATGTTCCAATTAAAATATTTAATGTTCGAGAAAACAGAAATGTACATACATACATACACATTCATATATGTATATAATTAAATTTTTGTGTAAATAAAGTACATTGAGTACATAGATACAATTTTTTCGTAATCTTCTTTTTATCCAAGTGTGTGAACCAAATGTACTTTATAAGTTATGGAAAAACTCAAATTTTAGAGCCAGTTGAAGTGTTCAACACTAAATATGTAAAATGAGTTGATGGTGGTAAATACATAAGTATATATAAAATTTAAACAAGAATTTTTAGATTCAGATTTTAAAATGGATGATGGTTCTTTTTCAACACCTTTTCTGTATTAAAGGTTTGTTCGACTCATGTGCATCAACTCAGCTATTATAATACACAAAACAAGCGACATGTTAACCAGCCAGATCTTTAGAAAATTTGTTACCATAAACTGAAGTAACAGATTTAAACGATAACAGTTGGAAGCTCATTGATATAAGCTCTTCCAGCCTTATGGTATTTGCAAGCAATTCATAATTTTCAATTCGCATGAACAAAAAAATCACAAAGTTATGACTAAGTCGAGTAATATTTATGTTTTCTAGTTTGCTTAGATCTTCTTTTAATTTGATGTACTTTTTTTTTAATCATAAATATACGTCATGTATATAGTCACACATATGTATGTAAATTATACAGGACATAAGAAATCAAATTTTTCATAATTATTATTTAAAACATTTGATAAAATTAGAAAACATGCAACTAAGTAGTTGAAATAAAGAAAATAATTGTTTGTAATGAACCTTTTCAAGAATTTCTATAAAATTTTTTAAAAAAATTAATAAAAACACAATTTTAGTTCATTTAAATTTCTACTTTCTACAATTTAAAATTTTTTTTTTAATATGTGACTCAATTTAAATGCTAGGTCTACATTTAATTTTGCTCTACATTTTATCATATTTTGTTTTTCTTGTAGATAGTATGTACCCCTTTTATACTAATTCATTTAAATATAAATAAGTGGGTTTGTTATGAACATATGTCTATTATATACATAAATATATATATATATATATATATATATACATATATGCGTATACAGCACTTTCTAAATATTATGGTAATCAAGGTAATTTTTTTTTTTTATTTTAAAATAATAATAGCAGTAATATGCATATAAGTATGTACCTGCAGCAAAATGTAATGGTGTAGATTTTCTTCCTGCTGTATCCCTCGAATTGACTGTCTGAGGTGTTATTAATTTTTTTACTTTTGCTATATCACCAGTTTTACATGCCTCAAATAATTCACGTAATGGATCATTTTGATTTAGCATAGCAGAATCTAAATTACAATTTAATGTTCGACTTCGATTTGACATTTTAAATTTATGTTCAAATGCAAAATCAATTTCTTCAAATTATTGAAAATTTTTATCGATTTTTTTTTTTCTACTTCTCTTCTCTTTTAGATTTTATTTTAAATTCTAAAAGCAATTTTTATTTCTTTGTTTTTTTTTTTTTATTTAATTAAATTTTGTCATACGAAAGACATTTTGGATATTGTTTTAAAATTTTCTTAAATTGTAAAATTGCAAAATTCAATCACAATTTTGCTCGCGACAACAAATGCATTTTAAAACTACACCTATGTATACATAATAATGTATTTATTTTATTTTGACGATATTTTCAACTTAACATTTATTAATTAACTAATTCAAACTAAAATACATTTAATTAAAAAATAATTTTTTTTTTCTTTAAGTTGTTTAATATCAATTTATAATTTGAATAGAAAAAAAAACTCAGACACAACTAACTAATGACAAAGCCAACCAGTAACCACTACAGATTTGTTTCAGCCTTCGTAAATAATTTCTACGAAATATTTTAGAGTGAAAGCACGTACAAAACTTTATGTTCAAAGAACTTAGACCAGTTTTTACATACAAGAAAAAAAATAATGTAAGTAGGGTAAGTTCTAAAGTTGTCTTTGTTTATTTATTTTTCGAATCTTCATGTACAACATGTAAATAGCGTCACCATAATCAAATTCGAAATTCATGTATACATTCATGTATAAATTCATGTATATATGCTTGACATATGCATTCATACCTAATATTACAGATGCATACAGTAAATTTTTGTTATCAATTAACTCATTCACGAAGCCAATTTAATTAAATTCTAAGGCATTTTTATCGTTTTATTTTATCGTTTTATTTGCATGTTAGGCTATTAAATTTTTTTCAAATAACTAAGGAACAATAAAAATGTTTTCCGAAAATGGCTATTCTATTGCTGTTATTTTCGCTTCGACAACACGCTTAAGCTGATTTCACCTAGTTCGCGAAGAGTTAAAATATTTTGTTTTCGAAATTTGAAGTAGTGACATTATCTTTATTTTTTAAGCAGTTTTTTTTGTACTTTTTCCTAAAAAGTTAAGTTAAATTCAACTTCAATATGTTTTTTTTAAAAACCATCAATTTCATTATTGCTTTATCTACTGTGGAATTAAAAAACTGTACAATACTGTATTTACATGCTACAAAAATTTATTAGCTTTGTGTATTTTATTATTTTCAATCATATTGACTAAAATTCCAAGCCCATGTTTACGTTTACACTTTCGAATTTCCATCTATGTTTGACAGCTGGATAGTGATTTGAACGACGAATTTAGAGTTTGTATCAAAAAAATTTTTGATTCACCTTAAATATTCTTTCACACTATAGGAAAATAATAACATGTTCCCCATTAGGATAAACTTGTTATAAAAAATCAAATTCATAATCGCACAACTTTGGTATATTTTGGAAAGGCAGTTCTTCATATTTTGGAAAGGCAGTGTTTAAAAAACAACAAAGAACTCTTATAAATTTGATTTTTTTAATCAAATTTTAGGACGAAAAAAATTCACTTCTTTTTGAACCTTCTTAATTAATCACAAGGTACCGTAATCTTTTTAATTAAGGATTTTTTTTTCATTACTTTCTGTAGCTAAACAATGCAATTTGGAAAGTACTCGTTTTAATCACTTTAAAAAATGAATTAATTTAAAAAGTATAATTTCTCACTTTTTAACAAAGTAAAATCAGCTTAAAAAACTTTTGAAACTCACTAAAAAAGTTGTTGCCTAAATTTTATTTGGTTTGACGGTGTGGAGAAAAATACCTAAATTTAGCGGCAAAATTAAAAAAGATGGGTAAAATGCAAAAAGTTTTTTATTAAAAAAACAATTTAGTGCATCTAACAATAATATTTTTTTGTTGGGACTATTATTTGCTTTATATAATGTAGCAGATATGGTTAAACATACATACTGTAGAGTTTACGGAAATTTGTATAAAAAGGTAAAAAATTTTTGTCATTTTCATAACAATAAAATCAAATGTAATGCACAATTTCGTGTTTCAGCTGTTTGCTGGTTTTGCTGTCAGCTGTCATTTTAGTCATCCTATCATAACAATCGCAATATGTACAAATAAAATAAACAACTAACGAAATATAGAATTATTATTTTAATTTCCTTATATTACAATTTTAACAGATTTTTCTGTAAAAATAAAAAACAAAACCGGACAAAGATGCGATACGGACAAATTGTAATGGGTCCTGCAGGAAGTGGCAAATCAACTTACTGTTCCATGATTCAGAGGCATGCACAGGATTCAAAACGTGTTATTGAAGTTGTAAACTTAGACCCAGCTGCAGAGAATTTCGATTATACTCCTTTGGCAGATATTCGCGATTTAATACAACTAGACGATGCAATGGAAGATGAAGAATTGCACTTAGGGCCAAACGGTGGTTTGGTGTTTTGTTTAGAATATTTAATTGAAAACCAGAATTGGTTGAAAGATCAATTATGTGGAGGATCTGATGAAGATATTGATGGTAAGCTTTAATTATACAAATGCAAAATTTTAATTACAAACACTAATTTAATTTAAATTTTAAAATTTATTTCAGCTGACCCCGATGATGATTATATTTTATTTGATATGCCAGGTCAAATAGAGCTTTATACACATTTGAATATGGGTAAACAATTAGTTGAGCTTCTCCAGTCTTGGAATTTTCGTATATGTACTGTATTTTTGGTTGATTCACAATTTATGATTGATGGTGCGAAATTTATATCTGGGACAATGGCTGCTTTGAGCGTAATGGTAATTTTTACAATAATTTATTTAAAAATTGTTACTTCTATAAATAACTAAATACATTTAAAAATTTAAGATAAATTTAGAAGCTCCACATGTAAACGTGTTGACAAAAATGGATCTTTTAAGCAAAAGTGCTAGAAATCAATTAGATAAATACTTAGAGCCTGACCCAAAAGCCTTGTTGGGAGAAATAACTAAAGAATCGGCATGGGGTCGAAGACATAGAAAATTATCAGAAGCTATTGGAAATTTAATAGAAGATTTCAGGTAAATATTTTGTTAAAACTTTGAAAAACAAATTATGACTGTTCTTTCAGTTTGGTCCGTTTTATACCGCTTAACATGAATGATGAAGAAACTGTAGATGATTTACTGTTACAAATTGATAACGTAATACAATATGGAGAAGATGGAGATGTAAAAATTCAAGATTTTGACCCGGTTGAGGAAAATGAAAACGAAGAAAATGATTAACTTTCAACTTTTTAAAAAACATAAATGAAAATATGTATTTTTGTATGTATATAACATTTATCTATTTTAATAATTTCAATATAATGAAGATCGTTTCATAAACTGGTTTAGATAATTTCTTGCACAATCTTAAATTTCAATTTTGATATAATTAAAAAGAAATATTTCAAAAACTTCGACATCCGTTAATATCTGTGTTACACAGTTTCATCTGGGACTGTTGGATTGGTTTGAGATGGTGTACTTTCATCAGGTTTGCTTTCCAAAGAAAATGGAGGAATTCTACAATCAAATGTATGCCCATCTTCTCGTTCCATTCGAAAGGTACCCCTTAAAATATTTCTTTAAGTTTTGTTTTTTCAAAATATTTTGCACTTACCACATATGACCACTCGGAGCTTGTAAGCTTACGTGACTACTGTACTGAAAAGCTGGTAGTCTTGGACTTAATACTGGTTCTTGTCCTACAACACCCCGGCCCCGCACTGTTTCTAACGTTCCAGACAATGAAAAAATACGCCAATGTCTTTCCCTTAATTGGACACTTAATTCACCTAAATTTTCTAAACGAATACAATATCTCCACTAAAAAAAGTAAATATATATTAAAAAAAAACTTCTTTGGATTTCGAACTAAAATCTTAATAAAACTAACCCAATAAACAGATGATGCTGGTGATTCTCTACATCCCATATAAAATGGAATTACTGTAACTCTAACGCCTTCTGTTGTTTCTTTATGTACGTCCTAAAATTGCATATTTGGTAAGAAAAACCATTATTTATAGCAAAATTTAAATAAAATTACAGATAATTCCAACCAAGGATGATTCTTTTTTTGCCATACTTTTAGAGTTTCGTGAGCTACAAAGGGTGGATCTTTACTAGAATCGTGTGTTAAAAACTTATCAAACAGTTCATGCTGAAGAGGATTCCTTTAAAAATAAGTAATATATGTACATAAATTTATTTTCTGGTTTGCTTAGAAATTAATATACTTTTCTGAAGAAGTATATGGCATTATATCTTCATGAGCAACATAATCCAAGCCAGGAATCGCATATAAACTTCGATTTGAATCTTGATTGCTTAAAAAAGTTACAGCTTCCGTTTGAGCTCTCTAAAATAAATGTTCGGGAGAATCATATTTAATATGCATTTATTTAAATATGGTGTATTACAATAAATGGGCAATCTCTTGTATCAATGAGAACTTGATAAAAAGTGTGCATTTTGCTTTTATTTTCCTTGTTATCAATTGGGCCACCTTCGACTTTTTTTTCTGGTTCTACAAGCTTTAAAATAATTTATTATTTATATGATTTTTTTTTTACTTTTTTTATACTATAGTCGAAAATTTAGTTTTTTTTTATTTAAACTAAATACCTTATTGGTTGGGGCATCTCTATCAAATACTCTTGCATACCAAGGAAATAATATAACACCTCTGTAACCAAAAACCCGATGCAAAAACAATTGTCCTGTATCATATTTCCCTTCGATTTTTGGTAATTCCAATTTTCCAACTTCCGCTAATCTAAATTTTGTTAGTAAAAAAAATTATATAAGAAATTACGTACAAAAATTGAAAAATTAAATTTTTTAACGTACTTCTGCAGTTGTGAAGATGTGGATATCGTTCGGAGAAAGACATTGAAGCAATAAGTCCTTGTTACTCTTAAAGTAATGTTAGTTAACTGCATAATTATTTTACTTTTTATTTTTTAGATAAATTTAATTTTCTAAGAAATTATTATGCGAATTATTTTAAATTTTTTTTTTTTAAACTACGTGAACATTCTAAAAGCTTCAAAAATAAAAATATAGCTGTCAGTAGGTTAATTAACAGCTGACTATATTAAATGAAAATACAAAAATTAAAAATACAAGTTTTAGGTCGTTTCAATCGCTTTCAATTAGCAGCAATCAGAAACTGTTTCAAATTTGACAACAGAACAAGAGCGATTTTCAATTTTCCTCGGCCAAACGTCACAATTCATATAAAATGCACATAACATAAATGGTACTGCCCAAAATAGAGCGAAATTACCGTTGGCGGTTTTTTTCGAATTCATCTGTTTCCACGTGTGTGTGGCGCTTTTTATTGTTGTTCTGCGTGAAGAATGGAAATCGTCCACCATTTCTGTTTACAGCTTTGGATATTTTTTTCTCGTGTTTTTGAATTAGAAGATTTTTTAGGCTTTAAACTATGATTTATGTATGAAAAGAAAAATGTATTGCAAGCCTTGTGACGTAAAACAGATGTGAAAGGAGAAACAACATTTCAAGTGAGGTTATACAAGTGTTCGAAGTCAAGCATATTAGTGTTTCTTTGTTGGAAAGAAAATAATAAACAATGTAGTGTATGCACTGCTTTATATAATTCTCAAAGCTCAAAAAAAATGTTATAAAATTATCTGATGTTGGTAAGTTTAATATTTGTCATATGATAAAAATAAACAGTCTAGAAAGAAGCAGGAGAAAAATCTATACATAAATAAACATATTCGTTTGCATATGTAAGTGGTAGACTAGGTATTCAGCGAAAACTATCAAAGTTCAATCAGTATCTAACCATTTATTTACTTTTTTTCAGACGGAAAAAAAAAATTGCATAGATTTTTGTATTTATTTATTTAATATTAGTAAAAGGAAGCACATATATTGGTAAGTGTATTTATTTGTGGTATTGTGGCTGTAATGAGTAAGATTGTTGCTATCGTCTAATATACATACGTTTGTACATAAAAACGAATATACATTTTCAAACATTCTAGCTTTATTTCACAATAATTGTCTTTAATTTTGAAATGTTTGCTCTTTAGCAATTTCCTGTTTTTTGGTATTCATTTTCAACTTGAGTAAAATGAAAAGTATGTAACTAGGAAGGTATATGCTCTCCTATATTTTTCAGCACAATTCACTTACATATATAGTATATATATACCTACATTCATATGTATAAATTTAATAGCATGCATTTATAGGTGTAAATATGGTTTCCATAAATGATTTTGAAACTTCATTTCAAACAATCAAACAATTGCATAATCAAGCTTTTAAAGTAGTAGATGAGGCAGTACGGCTTGAAGAAAATGAAAAACCTTATGAAGCATTAGAAAAATATAAAAATGGAGTCGAAATTATAGATATGGCACTTTCTACACCAGTTGGTTTACCGGAGAACTTTGTCAATGTTAAAGCTCAGTGGAATGAGGCTTGCCAAATGATACATAAAATGAAAAGAGCACGAGCTGAAATCATACAAAGAATAAGCATTTTGAGTCAAAATCATCAAGCAGCGATTGATGTTGGAACTGATGCTTTAGTTGAAGTAAATGAATCAGGCCGCCCCCGCACATATACTGAATTAGCTCAAGCTTTAAAGGAACTTCAATTTGATGAAACAGACACCCATGATTTGGAACTTTTATTTCAATGTGAAGGTGTTAAATTGTATCATATTAAACCAAATGGTTTAGTAACGACTACATCGGTAATTACGTTCTATTTGAAAATTTTTTATTTTACTTAATTTTTATAGAAATAAATTTTAGGAGAACTCAACAATGCGTATTGTTTGTTTAGCTAAGGATCAAAAAAAAAATCTTCAAACAACTTATTTTATTCAAATTATAAAAACGTGTAATGCAGTACCACTTCAAATTAAAAATGAAACTCCAGACAAAGATTTGCCCGACACACCCTCTCCAACGAGTTCGTTTTGTATAATTTCCAATCCAAACCATCCCCACGATAATTTCGATGGACAAGATGAATCATCATGGATTTATCCTTTAATCCCTGGTGTTTCTCCATGCTATAGAACAAAGTTTGGGGCTTTTATTTTCCCAGATTTAGAGGGAACTGAATGCGGAGCTTCATTTGGAATTATCGTGCCCAAAGAGGATGAAGCTGATCTTTTGGCATTAGATCTGCTAGAGGCTATTTTGCACGGGGTTATTATTGAATCTATTGAGGAAGCTAAAGCACGTCCGCCTCGTCGCATGAGTGTCGTTGTTTCAGAAAACATAGTTAAAGGGGCTCAATTTATCTCAAGAAATATAATTAAAGGCGCTGAAAAAACTGGAGAATTCATGACATATTCAACACCTTATTTGATTTCTAAAATTGATAAAGCTCCTCAAAATCAACACGTTCCCGGAAACGTTCAGACAACAATGCAAGTCGTCAAGAATGTCAGTGGTGTTGCGGCAAATGTAACGGGTTATATTGCTGGTAAAGTATGTTCATCCACAATGGCATTAGGAAGGTATTTAGCTCCACATATACAAAGACATGGATCTAGATTATTATCGAAAAGTTTTGGCATTGATGAACAAGATGCAAATGATAAAATGGCTGGTGTTTTAACAATAGCAGCTGGCGCTGTAGAAGGTTTCAGTACTGTTTATGCTGGATTGGAAGATTCTGCAAATATTTTAGGTCGTAATATAAGTGAAAATTCTGTAAAGCTCATTGAACACAAGTATTTCCTTAAAATCCGTTTATATATTTATATTTTCTAAGTTTTTGTTAACTTTTTAGGTATGGAAAATCTGCAGGCTCTGTCGCTCATGAAACATTTGATACAGTTGGAAATGTTATTAATGTAAGTCGAAATGTTAATTACATTACACCAAAGGGTATTGTTAAACGGACAGCTAAAAATGCTGGAAAAGCTGTAATTGAAGATTTTCGACCAACTTTACAAGAAACGTCAGACGCATCAGGAGGATCTTTACCAGCTGCAGGGTTATATCCAGAACTAGAAAATTTTGAAATGCAAATTCAAAAGAAATAAATATCTTATTTTTATATGTTTATATATATACATTATATCAATACACTTGGAAGAAGCTGTCATTTTCAAACAAATTGGCTTTAAATGTAGGATTAGGATCTTTATCAAAATTATGAAAATTTTAAAATGTCAGTTTTCTATGATTGATTTCTTAATGCATATTAATAAATAAAAGAAAAGGGTATACGACGTGCAAACGCATAATGCACACGATTTATTGCCACAGTCTTAGTTATATAATATTATGTATGTACTATACACATACTATGTATATCCTCATTAGATAAGAAATTACATTGCGCTGTTTCTTTCTATTTTAGAGATTTTTTTAAATAAATCAATATTTAATTAAAATCTTTTAAAAACATGATTTTATCCAGTTTGGAAAAGAAAAGATTCTATTTAACATTAATTCTGAAATTATTAATAATTTTGATATAATTTAATCAAAAATGAAACTCATAATTTTTTTATATTTTAACACGTAAGGAAAGAGGATTTTTCTTTGTATCATACTTTTAGAAACTGAAAGTTTAGAATGACAGCTTCTTCCATTAGGGTCATTTTGAAAATGTACTTTGATTAAAACTTAAAAAGAAAGCCATAAAGACTATATTATATACCTACTTATACTTATATAAGTTGAAGGTTTAAATTTTTACTCAAAGGATTAAATTTTCAAAATCACTTCATTTACGCGTATATTACTATATATTTTTAAATTAATTTATTGGATATTAAATACCTAATATAAAAATATACACACATACTTACAAATAATAAGTTGGGCTGGTATTTTATATAGTATTAAGTGCTTAAAGTGTAAAATCTCATTTTTTACAATTTTTATTCAAAGAATTGGCGTAAAAAGACTTCCATATGTATTTTCGTAAATATATACTCATTTTGTTATCAATAAAAAAAAAAAAATTTTAAATATAATTTTATGCTTTTTAATTTAAATATATACACACTTCTTATTATGAAAAATTTTGCTGTTAATTTCTTTTATCTAGAAATATTTATCATTTCTGTCCAGTTAATTATTGTTTTACAAAAATTATCAATTTTAATACAACGGGCACCATCACAATTAATACAAAATTAAACATTTTGCAGTTCCCACAAAGAGTCCAGTTGACTATTATGAAACGTTTTTATTATTAATTCCTTTTAGACGAGAGTCTTCAAAAGTAACATATGTATTACATATTTTACTGAAATAGATAAATAAATAGGTGGGTGCTAGAATTTTAAGAAAAAATTAAGAGCCAAGCCAATATAAGCCAATTTTTTAACTCTTCAACACGAATGTAAAAATCTACTAGAAATATATTCAATTAAATATTATTGGAAAAAGAACGTATATTTAAACTTTTTTTTTTAAAATAATATTTATTTATAATCATAATTTTTTTATATATATGTATATAATTTTTAAATTATTTTATCAACATTTCTTCGTTATTAAATATTTTCATATAAGTATTTTATATGCATGTAGTTTGTTATTTTTAGAAATTGTATTTATTAACTCTTTTTTTTTTTTTAATTACATAATTTTGCATAACTTTGTAAAAGAAATCCAGCTTCCATTATTCAATTATAATTTCTTTTTGTGTTGTTGAGGAAATTCCCTACGCTTTTAAAAAAAAAATTCCATATCACATATTTTTTAGTCAAAATCAAATTGTTTTATTGTTCTTTAAAATACATTTATAAATTAATATAAAACTGAATTAGTCCCAAAAAGTGGAACGGTTTTCCTTTAATAGAATTACTTCGCATAAACCAAAAAAACATTGAAATTTTCAAATTTCAAGAAATATAAAATATTAATTCAAAGCTTCAAAAATTTAATTGAACAAGATTTTGCTTTTCAAATCTTATTCCCGGAGTTATAAATATACAAAGAGCTATATTGTGAAGGTTCACACATAATAAATGAATTTGTTAAGTATTCGTGACTTCAATAATGCTGTAAAAAAAGATTTAAGTACGGTATTAATACGGTTATAGTACCGTCTCAGAGCTTTCAATTGCTGAAAATATATGCTAGATTATTTTATCGGTTATTTCTGACAACATTTATATGACAAGGTATAAGAAAAGCGTGCTCGATTTTTTCAATACAAAATTTACTTTAATTTTACGTTTCCGCTACGTATAAAACGAATTTAAGGAAAATGTACAATGTCAAGAGCTTTTACTAAACTTTTTGGGATTTGATATTTTGTAAAATTTACGTCGTAAGCGCATTATTGAAGTCACGGTATATTTCTAGACCCTTTTTGATTTTTTAAATTTTTGATTTCGTCCAATTCCATGTGAAATCGATTTTGAATTTTTATTATCAAAAAGAATATTTTGTATAAACAAATCAAAAAATTTCAATTATTGGAGCTGGTTTTCCTGTGGTTATACATAAAATAATTTTTCATAACAAAAATATATTTTTTTTTTTTTGTAAATCTAAATATATTTTTGCTGGCGTCCAAAGTAGAGAATATTACGATCTAATACATATTATTGTATCCTACCAAATATGTATCTCGTAAATGCAAAATGTTTTAAATTAGTTTATTTTAAACATCTTGATTATGTAAAATTAGACTTCCACTTTTACAGAAATGAAAAATGTGATTCAATGGAAAAAATGGAAAAGAAGTTTCTATTTAAATGTAAATGTAGTCTACTCAAATCGAATTAAATTAGAAGTATCGCATATTATTTAGTGTAATTATAAATTAATTTATTTTTTTAGTATTTTCCTGTTAATATTTTTATTATTATAAAGTTTTTCTGTAATTAATACCTTAACAAAATCTTATAAATTATATGTACAATAGTTGGTATTCAATGTCTTTATTTTTAATTAACCTAAGAAAAAAGTGATGTACATTGAAGCAAGTTTTATATTTTATGATCAATTATCAAAATTAAAGAAGAAAATAAAATCGATAATTTTATTAATTTTTTATAGTCAAATTTGGTACATATTTTAAAAGGCAGCATTTCGAATTCACTAAAATTATAAAATGTTTTATAAAGATGACTTTTATAAATGCTTTCACAAAAATCACCTATATTCTCATTTCAAAAATTTTCTAATTTTCTGAACAAAATTTATTCTAAAATTCGAAATTCTATACTGAAAAACAAAATTCTTTTCAATATCCTATCACCTTAAATGAGGCAGAAAAACAGAATATGGGTTGATATTTGGCTATATAAATATTGAAAATTTGACAATAATTTTTATTTTTATTTATTTAATAAAAATTAATTAATAATCGAAAGAAAAATAGTGTAAATAAATTTACCTATATCATGTGAATATTTTTATTATACATAAATCACTATTGTCAGTCTGTACATGCTCATGAATTATTGCATGAATTAAAGTTTTATTTTATTAATTTAAATAATTATCCCTTATTAATTAAAGTGAAGTAAAGAAAATTGAAGTAAGATATTTTAGTTACATATGAATAAAATAGTGATACTTTGCATACTTATAATATGTACTTAAATTAAATTGTTTTTCTTGCGTTTAGGGATTCCAAAAATCTTATAAAGTTTATAATATTATTTAATATGTATAATTTGTAATATTTTACTGGTCCTAATAAAACCATTATGTTAGAATTTAGAGAAATTATTTAAGATTAAATTTATTTAAATAGTTATGAAATTTCATTACAAAGTCTAATCGTAAATAATATTTTTCATATGGTAGTTAATAATAAGCTCTCTCAAAACAATATTCTAGTAATTTCATTTTTGTTGAGGAATACTATTAAATAATATTTAAGTTGTTAATGAGTTTCTAATTTTTATAGCATAAATTTTTTTGAGAATTGAAACATTTTATAATGATTAAAATAAAATATGATATGAAATTATTGATTTATTTTAAATATATTTGTTTTTGAAAATCAAAAGAAAAATTTGAATTCCACACATATTTTAATCACGAATATTGTCGATAATTACAATTTAAAAAAAAAAAAAATTTATTTTTTTTTTTTTTGCCTAAATAATCAATTAAATTTTTTTGCATTATTTTCGCTGCAGACTTGAGTAAAGTTAGGAACTAAAAACAGTCTCAATTACGTGGTGTGATTTTCATAATACTTGTTTTTACACAAATAAATTCAATTTCTTAATACATAATATATTATTATTAAATATTCTATCTAGTAAATTTTCTTGAAATATTTGAATATATAAATACTCATTTTTATTGAAACGTTGTTGTTTTCTTTTTCATAAGTTTTATAAAAAAGAGATTATTATTATTAAAATAATAAAATTTTAATAAATTGGAAAAAACAAAAATCACTTAACTTATCTCTTATCTGCGGCGGAGTAATCTTTTACAATAAATATTCAAAAACATTTTTGTGTTTTTTTTTGCCGGAAAAAAATATGCTCATAAAAATATCTATTTACAAAATTTTTTAAAATATTTTGGCTACAATATTTTATATATAAATACCTTTCGATTTATTTAAAAAAAAAAAAAACGTAATATATATGTACATAAAAAAACATATTTTTAAGAGCATAATAATTATAATAAAATATAAATTTGACAAAAATATGTCGCCCAAATTCAATGTAAAACCTAAAAAAATTATAAAGGGAAAATCTCTTTATCTAATAAGTTGCTTAGACAAAAATTATAAATTTTTTTGAAAAAATCACTATTAAAAAACAGAAACTATAATTTAATTAGATTCTAAAAACTTTTCGCGTTTATTTATATTTGAAATTAAAAAAAAAAGGTACAATTGTTTTGAACTTGTAATTTATATTCTTCTTTTTCCCTACTAAAAAGCAAGAATAACTCCAAAGTCTTACCATAATAATTATTTTAAATAATGTTATCAAATTTTCAATTGTATGTTTTACTTCTAATTAATATTTTTGTATTAGGTATTTGTATTTTAGAAAAAAAAAAAAAAAAGAAAAGCAATTAAATTGATTTTTATTATGTTTTCTATATATATATATATTTTTTTTTTTGCATAATTTTATTGATTTAAATTAAATTACCTAAACTTAACAGAACAAAATAAAAAGCGGATAATGTAATATTTAAAATAAACAATATTTAATTAAAAATTTTCATTTAATTTTATTATATTTGATTTCATTTTGAATCATTTTAATCGCATTATTTCATTTATACATAGTTTTATTTTAATCAAAAGTATGATTTTCCTAAATTTACAAATCAAATGAAGTTTTATCCCTTTATACTTTTACTTTTTAACATTGTTCAAATGTTTTGTTTTTTTTTTACATTTTCGATACGATACTTTTATGAGAATTGAATTAATTAATTAAAATATAAATTTAATTGATAGATATTTTATTTAACCTGAATTTTGAATTTAAATTAAGTAAAAAAGAAGCATTATAAAAAGAAAGTTTCTGTAAAATTTTCATACTAATAAAAAGAAAATAGAATCAAAAATAGAATATTTTGTTTTTGCATACCTTTGATATTTTATTATTGCAATTTAGTGACTCAATATGAAAATTAAATTTATTTCTTTCATAATTTTAATAATGTTGTTTTTTTTTTTTTTTGTTTCATCGTATCTAATTGAATGTTATTAAAATTAATATAACTATTAAAAATGTTTTCAATGAAAACAAAAAATATTAAAAAAAATTCTGTAAACTGTTTTTATTAAAAAAAAAAAAAAAATATGTATAGGTATGTAATAATATTTAATTCTGATTTTATTATAATTTTTTTTTTTTATTTATTTTAATGCTATGTATTTATATTTCGCTTTAAAAATGTCACAATATTTATTCTTGTTTTATTTATGTTTTTTTTTTTTTTTCTAAATAACTCGAACTTAAAATAGAGATCGTAGATAAATTTAATAATTTTTTTTTTTTCTTTTTAATTTTCAAATTTTCTATTAACTGTGTTTAATTTATATATATATATATATTATTTAAACTTATTTTCATAATTATGTTGCTCTCATCTTAAGTTTTAATCTTAATGAAACTATTTCCTTCGCCCCAAATTTTTTTTTTTTATTAATGTTCCATTAATGCAGCTAAAAATATATAAAAAAATTTAAATAAATTATGTAATTAAGTTTATGAATAATGCGAAGTATGAGTAGTAACTTTCAATCAAATAAATTCGTACTGCAACAGTGACATAACTCAAAAAATACGATAAAGAAATAATCACTTAAAATATTTCTTCTTTGTGCAAAAACGTCAATTCTCTAGCTTGAAAATTTTTGCATATAATTAAAATATTGCTAGAACCGGAAGAATATATTATTAATATATATATATTAATGCATTCTCACAAATATGCATTTTACATACAATTTGTAAAAAAAAAATTAAGCTCACTGCTAAACACTCGATAAGAATTCAATGTACATAAATATGTATGTACATTTAAATGTAAGTAAAATGTATATACAATATACATACATATGTATGAGCATAAATATTGAATTCAAGTTATATAACATGTTTATTAATAGTTACCCATATTTTGTTTGTTCGAATAACTTTTCTAATTTTTGTAGATTATATCACAAACAAATCGGTAAGTAACTACAAATGTATATGTTTGTAAAATAGCTATATTCATAGCTATATAATAACGATATAAGTGAGTTGGAAATATTGTGAAATGCATACTATCTTAACCGGTTAATTATAATTTTCAAGTTACGAAATAGAATTTTAAAATGATAAAAAAAAAATTTTTTTTTTCAAACTTGAATTTTTAAATTAATTTTTTCAAATTTTATAATTTGGAGTACGAGTCGGGTAATGCAATGAAAAAATAAAAATAAAAGTGTATTTAACATATTATTTAACTTACGTGAAGGACTTCTTGTTTTATTAGTTTCATTAGGTGGTGTAAAATTCAAAAAATCCCATATTAATATTGTGTCATCATGTGAACTACTAACAATTTGGAATTCATCAAATTGCAAACGGAAAACTCGTCCAGTATGTTCCTAAAAATAATTGCAAAATTATAGAATTAATTAAAATTCAAGAAATATATATACATATGTAAGTATATTTAATTTAATATATTAAAAAAAAATTTTTTTTTTTATTTTTACCACTAAGGTTTTAAGGCAAAGTGCACTAGATTGAGCTCGTGGATCTAATGCTGCAACTAAATCCCAAACTTTAATTTTACCATCATAAGCACCACTAACAATACGTTTTGAATCAAATCTGATGCATCTAACAAGTTCTTCATGACCTTCAAGAACTCTTAAACAAGCTCCACATTCAATATCCCATAATCTAAAATAATGAAAATTAATAATAAAATTTAGCACTTATGATTAGATAAAAAATAATAAACAATTATTAATAAAATAAAATTTTCATAAAATTTTTACCTTATTGAATTATCAGAGCTACCACTTACAACTAAACGATCACGATATTGTAAGCAAGCTATACCTCTTTTATGACCATTTAATGTTCTTACAAATTCACAGCTCGAAGTACTCCAGACTTTTATTGTTCGATCACCGCTTGCAGATACAATATATTTTTCATCAAAATCAACTACATTAACCGCTGCACGATGACCAACTAAAACACGTCTTAATGTTATTTCTGTTGGTGATGTCATATCCCATACAGCAATAGAACGATCTTTTGAACATGTTACCATCAGGCCATTATTGAAACGTAAATGTAAAACAGCTTCACAGTGATGTATTAATGTATTAACCATTTCACCACTATTAACATCCCAAACTCTTACAGTTGAATCACTTGATCCGCTAATTATAACTTTATCATCATATTGTAAACAAAGCACAGAACCTGTGTGCCCAGTTAAAGTCTGAAATTATTTATATTATTAATATTAAAATTTTTAAAAATAATTCGATTAAGTAAAATATTACCTTAACACATTGTAAATCCGCTCGATCCCATATTTTAATTGTATTATCCCTAAGTCCTGAAACAATTTTAACATCATCATACTGAAGACAATAAACACCTTTTGAATTTTCTGAGCGGCAATTTATTCGTCTCAGCATATGTCTACCAGTTCGCCAATTATGTTCTATACTTTCGATGTCCTACATAAAGTAGAAAAAATTTCATTTAATTTAATTTATTTTTTTGTTTTGTTAAATACAAACTTACATTCATTATTTTTGGGAAGAGCTCACGATAAAATGAATGGGGTCTATGTGTTGTACCTGGTCTTGGTTTGAATAAATATTGTATCCAACCACGACGTTCGGCTAATCCTCGCCACAATGAATCGGTTCGAACTTTTCGTTCAATTAATTTTTTCCACAACATACCTTCTGATATAACACGAAGCCACTCTTTACATACTAATTCGGCAGATTTTAATGAATCAGCGTCAAGATATGATAATATCGTTTCCGCAATGTGATCAAGACCTTTTTCTGTAACATTAATTGTAAAAACAATTAGTGGAAAATTGTAACATAACGAAGAAAGTGAAATTCAAAGAAAAGTTTAATAAAAGTATTTAACGCAATATAAATTTTAAATAAATATTTTATATTTACTTGGCAGCAATGAGATAAAATCCCTTTGTAGCATTGGCTTTAGAAACGCATTAATATGTCCATGTTGATAATGACACATTCGTGAAAGCAATTGCTCAACAAATTCAACTTGATCTCCTTCATTCCATTTAATAAAATATCCTAAGCATGTATCACGTTCTGTTTGAAATGTTGGTGATGGTTCTTTCTTCCTAACTGGATCATATAGCATTGTCGATGAAAACTAAAAAAGTGCAATAAAATAATAATTAATAATTTTGTGATTGATTGAATGATTGAATCCTAACTTAAAAAATATATTTTTGAATTTATTTTCTTCTTTTCTAATTCATTAATTTGAATGAGCTTTTCAAAGCGATTTCTGGAAAAATCTCGGACTGACTAAATTAGATATTCACATAAACTAATCTTTAAATTTTCTCTTAATTTTTAAAAAAGAATTTGTACAATTGCTTCTGGGACCGATTTTAATAAGTAAGAGCATTTTCACACATTGTCTATTATATTTTCATTTTTGTTAAAATTGATGAAATTTTTACTTAGTTTTAAGAAGGCAATTGAAATAATATTTACTTTCTGTTTTAATTTCATTCTGTTTTCCATTCTTCTATTTTTTCAGGTCAATGAAGACGTATGTACATACATAAATATATAAGTAAATAATGTAAGTAAGTACCTTATAAATTTAATTTTTTATAATTATTAGTTATAATATGTCGCAAACTGTTATACGGTATTAATCAGCATTATACCAAGTTGAAAAACAACGTAAGTATATAAGCGTACGTATAAGCACAATTTCAAATTCGTTTATAAGTTTTTCTTATTGTTATACAAATTAAATAATAATAAATATTTTTAAAAATATACATTTAAAAATTAATTATTTAACGAAGATTCACTTAAATTTTGTACTAGAACTAATAGAACCTATTCATAAACACAGTATAAATTGCGATATACTCGTATAGCAAAAACTGTGCTATAGTTGTGTTCATAAAAACGGCATATGTTGCATATTTATCACGTTATACTTTTGCAGTATTACATTTATGTAAATCTCTTATAATATTAGGGTTAATTTGAAAAATTAATTTTTTTTATTATTTTGTTCTATATTTAAAGAGTAACTACAACATCAAATTGTATGTTGCGTAAATTATCACAAAGTTAAAGTACATAATTAAGCAAATATTTGGCCGATTAAAATCAGAATCTAGATTGTGAAATTAAATTTTAAAACAAGTTTTTCAATTGCTTTCTTTAAACAAATAAAATAAAAATTACCTATAATAAAGTAGAATTCTCAAGCTCAATAGAAATTGTCAATATTATTAGATATTAAAAAATCATTTTCAAAAAATTCTGCCCGAAAGAGTGTACTTGTATTCGACTGTATATATGGTTTCAAAATTTGATTTTAGTTATAAGAATTCTTTTAAGATTTTCAATTAAATTAAAAACATATAAATTTTAATTTTTATATTTTACTTCCATCCCGTGTACTACGTACTCCAGTTCTTATTTCATACTTAATTTATATTTTATTTATATATTTTAGTATTTAATATAGAATTATGAAATTTCACTAAATAATCATTTAACATTTAGTTTGATGGTCGTGTAAATAAATAACAAGAGTTGTGTGCTTGCATAATAATGTGCATTACTGTTATGACATTACTGATACTGACAACAATTTAAAACAGTTCACTTCCATTATTATGCCGCAAATTAATAAATTTTGTAAAAAAAAAATATTTTGTAAATATTTTGTAATAATAAAATTAAAATTGAGCTATAGAGAACCAATATAAATCGAATTTTTTTTTATTATTCATTATAAGTATTGCAGGTGATATTTTTGCTGTTAAATGAATCGAATCGAACCTTGAAAAATTTAAAGCTAAACTTTTATATATTCAGTTTTGTCTATATAGCAATAAATTAATTATTACTTAAAATTATTAATAATTATAAAATGTAATAAAATGAAAAATTCAAATTTCATTTAAATTTATATTTTTTAAATTACTTTTATTTACTTTAAATTCTAGTAATTAAATATCGTGAATATTGTGAAATTTTAATGAATATAAAAAAAAATCACAATGTTACAGGGTATTACAAAATATGAGTCTTCACTCTTTAGTGCAAGAGGTCGTGTATCGATGGGTCTTATTATAGCAAAAACAGTGCACCGATAGCAACAACAATTAAAAAACACTTATTTGCTTAACTAGTGCATACATATTTGCTCCACAAGAACGTATCGTGTAATATTTTTCCCTCGAGACTAATTCAAATTTTTGATGTGTGGTACTTTTTTATTATTATTAAATTTCAATTTGTGAATAAAAAAAAAACATAAATTTTTTTAAAAATATTTCCAAACTGCAAAATAAAAAGCCTATGATTGTCAATTTTTTACAATTTGACATCGAAAATTTCCTTCGTCACTAATTAGAGGGAAATTATTTTTTTCCCCCCATTTTTTTCCACTAATACAACAGTGAGTGAAAATTCGTCCTATTTTTTCAACTAAAAAAATTATTTATATCAAATGCACTTCTAGAATACCTTGGTTATCTGTTTGTTTTAAAAAAAAATTTTCTTTATTATTATTATTTATTTATTGCCTTGCCTATATTGATTTAAAACCAGAATATGAATAATGCATTTAAACAAAATTTAATTATGAAATAAAATGAAATATAAAAAAAAAGTGATAAAAATTAAATCGTTATAAGAATTGAATTTTTTTTTTAATAAAGAAGAAATTTATTTTCCAAATAACCTCAGCTAGTGCCATAATTGCATTTAGTTTAGAACATACATAAATTATTTAAATATTTTGCTAGCTTTTAGATATTTAAAAAAAATCTAATTATGTACTTAAGTAAGTACATTGATTTTTTATGATTTTCAATTTTTTTTTTCAAATTTTCATTAAGTAAAAGCAAGATAAATTTAGAATCACGTCATTTCACTTAATTTACGTTGTACTATGTGTATATACTTATAAGTGTACTTTGTTGAAATATTAAGTATGAATGTGCTTTTGGATTCACATTTTATATGTGTCATTTAAAGTAATTTATAGTGTTATACTAGGTGTTATACTAACGTATATGTACTTTATTCTGTTTTTTTACGCGAATTTTTTTTTAACAAGCAATTTTATGTGTGTTTTGTAACTTGATTCGTAAAATATTTTTAAGAAAACCATTAAAATTAAAAAAAAAATTGAATTTTAAGACTTAAGTTTAAAAATGAAATTTCTTATAAGAATCATGAAGAAAAAAAAATCTGATATTATTAAAGGATGCATAGATGAAAGTTCTGAATAAGATGTTATTAAATATTTATAGGAACTATAGGGTTTCTGAAACAAAGAATTTGGATTCGTTATTCGGGTTAAAATTGCCGAATATTGATTTTTCATATAACATCTTCATATATTTCGAGTCTCTAAACACAAATGTTTAAATAGATACCTTCCTAGTATAATATAATTGAGAGACATACAATATCAATATTGTTGCAATATTATAACAGTTATGTACTGTTAATATCAATTTTTAATGCACATAATAAAAATTTCTTTTTAATAAATATAACAAGTATTATTAAGATTCGATGAATCTTGCGAAATTCGATGAATCTTCTGATTATTTAATGTACATAAGTAATTCTTTTATTTATTGCGGAATTCGGGAAATATTTTTTTTTGGATAGAATAGGGAACATCCCATACTTATTATGAATTTTTTCATTAATTCTTATCTACTATATTAAGAAAAGTACAATAATTGTTTCACCGAATTTTCTTACTTAATTTGTTTTCGAAAATATTTTCTAAATAATTTTTAAAGCAGAATAATTGTGATATATATTTATATATGTATATATGTACATGTATGTGTATACAATTAAATTAAATAATTTATTTTAATAACATCATTGATATAGCTTTTGTGTAGTACCTGCCAATCCCTCAATTTTCATAAATATTTCAGTGATTTATTTTGTAGGGAAAATGTTCGATTAAATGTAAGATTTCATACATAATATAACAATTATATACACAAATACAAATAATTTATACATGAATATAACTATAGTATATGAGTTTACTATTGTTATAATAAAAGTAGTGATATATTAGTAGATAGAGAGTAAGTTACGAATGTTTGTATTTAAACTTTTATCTATTTAATGAATTTATCTTAAAATTTATTTTTGGAACTTTCACTTTTCCTTTTGTCATTTTTTCTACGATTTTTTTTTTCGTTTTTTTATTTTCTTCTTGTATTAGTTACTTAATTATTAGTGAATGGTTATCATTATAATCTGTTAATAGAGAAAGAAAACAATAAAAAGCAGGCGGTAGATATTATAGTAGGTACATAATTGGGTTTGATTGAATATTTGTTAGGAAAAAAATAATAAAAAGTGAAAAAATAAAAAAAAAAAATATTGACTAATATTAATGTTTTATATCGGTTTTTCTTGAAAGTAAAAATATTTAAGAGAAACGAATATTTAATGTTGATATATATAAGTAAAATAACATTGTATATGGAAGGTTATAGTAGAATATTTGTGAAACAATTAACAAATTTTCTATAAGTAAATTTAAAAATAAAAATGTAAAATCCTTTTTTCAGCTTAACATTTTACTATAGCTCAACATAACCAGATTTTATGCAAAGAAAACACGTTTTTAATGTGAAATTACACTCGAATTTAATTTAGCTCTGTAATTTTAGTGTGTAAAATTTATCAAATTTTTGACCAAATAGAGCGAATTCTACTCTAAGCATTGTTATAACATGATATATGGAATTCAATTCACCCTTTTCTTCTGTTTAGGTTGCCTACTTATAAAAGTAGGTTTCAGCTTTTAGATTTAAGTTCGCTTCGTTGTTATTGTTTGGTTTCTGATATTATTGCCCCGTTTTTATTGTGTCGAAATTTTTTTTCAATTGTCTAGCTCATAGTACAGAGTATATAGGATGTATGATCCAATAAAGCGTATATTACGTGAAATTACCTTATATTCTTTGATTATTTTGTACGAACTCTATGATAGCATTAATTTTAGTTAATTAAAAGTTGGCTAAGTGACGTACATTTTGCTATACTAAATTCTTGTATGTTCTAAGCAATCTTCTGATATTAATGTAATGTTAATGTAAAGGCAAAAGTTAACTGTATTTATAAAATTTTATAAAATTATAATCTTTATTCTTTAAGCAGAATGTTTCTTCGATTAAGTGCTAAACAGAATAAAATTTATTTAAATATTTAATATTAATTTATTATTAAAAAATTTTTTTTAAATCTTTCTTTAAATCTTTATTTTTAAATATAAAAAATTAATTGTCAATTATTTTAAGGTTAAATAAAAAGCTTAATATAATTTATAAATTATATTACTTTATATGTTGTAGATAATGTAAATAATGTAAATAATAGAGAAAATCAAAAATATAAATAGTATAACAGTTTGTATTGTTATAATGCATAAATATTTCCTTGCAACAATATATAATAAGTATGTAGGTAGGTAAGTATATAAAATATATTTTTGTTTTAATGAAAACACCTTGATAAAAAACATCATGCATTTTTTTTTCATAAGTAAGTATAGTAAAAAAAAAAAAGCAAAATAAAATCAAAGCTCAATGAAAAAAAAAAAAACACGAAAATGATTTTGTTTTCATTTTATTTCAATTAAGTAATTTTTTTTATTTTATTTTTGTTATTTTCTATTTTTTAAATTTGATATTGAAAATTTTTAATGTAAAAAATTAAAAAAAAAAAAGAAAAAACTCACATTAAATCATTTACTACTTGGATACACCTAGACAATTTTCTGTATTTTTAAAATTTAAAAATAATTAGTAAAATGTTTACTACAAGGATAAATAAATTGAAAATTTAAGATTTATTTAAGATTGAATTAATCAATATTCTGATAGGTATAAGAGTGAATTTAATTGAAAATAAAATTTAAAACATAAGCTCAAATATTGCAGGTTAATTTACTTTAAAATAAAATTAAAAACAATTCACTTTAAGAATTAATTGTTTTAAATGGAATGGAAATTGAACAATTAACGAAAATCTATTAAACATCTTTATTTATTACAAAATTTCATCTTATTTGTTACAAAATTTCAAAGGCTTATTTGATTTAAAAGTTGTAAAATAAGATTTTCTCTACTTGTTATGTCTCCACTTATTTACAATTCGTGCTTTTATATTTTTTAATGCCTGAAATTTATAAGCTAAAATATTAACGAAAAAAGTAGAAAATAACAAAATTGTAGGCAAACTGATATCAATTTGGTATTGCTATTTTTAAGTATTCAGTATTTGGGTAATTTAATATTGATAAATTTAGATATAAGTAGGTACAATAAGAAGATAATGTGGTTACCATACTTTTGTATAACATATGCAATAATAAGAAAGCAGTATATAAAAAATCCTGAGTAGCATCTGTTCATAAATTTTTAATTTAATAAAAATTTCCATAAATTAAATATATGTATGTATAAAAGAAAATATGAAAAATTTAACTATGAGAATAAATTTGAAAGAGACCATATGATTTAAAATCATTACGAAAAATTCATTTATGCTTTTTATTATATTTTTTTTAATCTTTGTTTTAATTTCAATTTTCTTTTAACTATCTACCATATCCAAAGTGAAGTTTAAGTGAGTATAATCTACCTATCTACCTACACCTATACATACTTAAATATATTTAAATATACCTATATTTTTTTTTTTAATAATAATGTACTCATTTTATTCCTCATATTGCTTGGTACGTACATAGGTAAAATAAAGTTTGGAGTTTCTTTAATTGTGGAAATACTATAAAATATTACGCTTATTTTTCTTTTTTATTCTTTTCATTTCATTGTTGTTGTGTTTCATCATCGTCTCTCATGCGAACCTAACTGTTAATTTTCCTGGTTTCATGACTACGAAAATTATTATTTTTTTTTTTTTATTTTTATTCACTAACTTACTTCCCAAAATGCAATACACTTTCCCCCCCCCTTCTCAACATTCATTGAAATTCATTTTAAAATTTGTAAATTTTGTTTCGTATGCATATTCAATTCAAATATTTGATGTAATTTGTGTATGTAGGCAGGTAGGTAGAGATACCTACCTATCTAGTTTGATATCTGTGTATAGAAATGATTTTATATTTAAGAATAGTAACTATTTCATTTCTTTTTTTTTAATTATTAATAAATCATGATATAAAGCGAGCCTCACCAATATTAAAATAGATTATGGTGCCTATTCTTTATTTTTTAATTAATTGAAATTTAATGGAGTATTTAAGTAGGTATTATAATGACATATTTTACATAAACTTTCAAATTAAAATCTGTTAATGTGAGTAGGTATTGATGCCTATCGAAATAGGCTCTGATCCTATGTTAAAAATTCTAATAATTACAGTGTTAATGTAGAATTCAGCCTGCGAATTATCGGCCAATTGCTAACTACCTTTCTAATAAATGAAAATGTTCAGTTACAATCGTGATCATGATAATTTTCTTGTAAGAATGCCAAGGAAATGTATTTATTGCACGTAGCCTCATAAAAAATGCAATCTGATAAAACGAAACTTTACTTATTTATAAGGATTTTTTAAGATAGAACAGAATATTATTAAGGCACAAAAGCTCATTCTACAATCTGACATAACTATTTTCAATAGTTCATTAAATTAAATTGTAAGTAATCAACCTATTCCATATTATATCATGTAGGTACGTAACTGTTAAAAAAATTTTTCAACTTTTATTTATTATTTATCTGCATACTTTATTAAACGTAATATCCTTAAAATGTTGTATGTACGTATGTTGGAACCTACTTACAAACTTAGATAATTTTCTTCACATTAACATTATAAATAATAAATTCCCTAAAACCTGTTTTGTCTACCTTACGTCTCAGATAGTAGATACATATTATTTCTTCACCTTTTGGATATATCTACCTATAGGTACCCATCAAAATTTACACAAATGCATTTTTTAAATAGGTAATTTAAGATCATTTACTGTATTAGAAATTAAAAAAAAAAAAATAATAAAATGGCGATTATGTTTTTATTAAAATTTCTTACCTGTGAATTTGAATTTGTATCATCCATAATCTTGTCAGTATCCATTTTCATCATTTGGATTTTGACGTCTTCCACCTTGGCAGAGTCACAAATATTTCTGTAGTCTTCTAATTTTTTTTTATATATCTAATTTACTAAAAAAAAAATCTTTTATCTTGTCAAAAAACCAACCAAGCCAGTATTTTTTTTTTGTTACTGGGGGCTAGCCTACACAATAATTAAAAATTTTATTAAATTGTATTTTACATTGAAAAAATTTTATTCAAATTTTATTCAAATTTATATCAATTAATTTTTACTTATTTTTTCTGCACACTTAATACACCAAGCCAAATTTTTTAAACAAAAATTTTTCAATTTTTCTATTTGCATCAAAGCGCAAGTCATTAACTTATGAATATAAAAATGGACTTTTAATTTTATTGAAAATTATTAAATTGGCTTTGTACAAATATTAATTAATTTTTACTGGCAAATTTAAAATTTAGAATATTATAATTCTAAGTTTTATGGAATTATTTAAATTTATTAATTAATTTCGATTGATTTAATCATTTACGAAATGTATTTAAAAATCCTATTGAAATTAAAGACAACAAGCACGAACATAAGAACGAAGAGCGACACAAATTATAAAAAAAAAATTACGCTAGCAACTTGTGAGCTCAATGCGTCAATGTTATTTCATAACAATTTCTAAACATGAGACCTCTATTGGTGTTATAATAAAATAAAATAGTATAAATTTGTAAATTTTCAAAAAGAAAATTACTTTGAAACAGACAAATTTATAAAACGACAATAATTCTCGTCTTATGAAAGAAGAAATTTTAAGTAACCTTGCTAATTACTTCGTTTTATTTTCAAATATCCAAGTATTGTAATTGTAAAAACATAACGAAACGGCAAGGTAGGAAGTTATCCGTTAAACCAAACAAGAGCTGAATGGCAAAATTCAGCTCTTGTTCAGTATTTTGCACATAATGTAGCACACACATGGAAACAGATAATATCAGTAATAAACCGACAGCGGTATAATAGAAATTTAGGCTATTTCAACGCCGGTGATGAAATTCACGTCGGTAATTCACCTTGACTCTCTGAAGTTCCATACAATAGGGTGTATTATATATAACTTCTGACATTTCGACGCATTGAATCGTTTTTGTTCTATTTTCAACTCAAACAAAGGATTATTCACAAACGCAAAACACTCGATCTCCTAAACGCCGACTTTATTTAAAACACAACAATTTTATGTCAAGTCTTTATTGATACAGGATAAAAAAAACATTGATCCAATTAAAGTTTCATTTTAAGAGGTTTTTCCTTTTAGAAAAATAAGAAGGATTTAAAAAAAGGTTTCCATTCATTTCAAAAATAAATCGACAGATAACAAATTTTTACTGTATCAGAAAATATCTGAAAATATCTGGTGTAAAATATCTGAAGGATAATATGTAGAGATTTTTCATTTTTATCTGCCGCAAAATAATAGAAAAGTTGACTCTTGTAATATTTTAAAATTTGAAAATTTACTTTCGCTTCCATTCACCTAATAAAGATATTAAAGTTGAAAAATGGTAACAATCAATTGAATTAAGTTGGAATTGCTTTTATGTAGAATAACAAAAGACAGTGACAGAATAATCATCGCGGCGACACAATTTCTACGGTGTTCGGCAGGGCTTTTACTGTTGTGATGTTTCGACCATGTGAACTCATCATAAAAATCGTGTAAAATACAGTAACGTCAGATTTTAATCATAATGTAAATAGATTTTGTTTTGTTATCATTTAAAAGAATACAGCTGTCAGAATGGAGAATAAGGTTATATTTGATTTATGATTGACTACAATAAAAAATCTGCGCTTAGAAAATTTATTAAAAATATATAAAGGAACAATTTTGACTTGATTGATAGTCATGCAAGCTGGCCTTAAAATCTTAAAAAAAGTATCATTTTTTCGAAATACTAGTCATTTCTTATATAAATCATCAAAAAATTCGAATTTCGCCTCAGATCTTTTTAAAGCAATTGAAGAATATAAAGCGGCGGAAATGGAAAAGCAAACAATTAAAAAACAATATAAATCTCGGTATAATGGTAAAAACAAAAAGCGTCCGTGGCAAAATTACAGTGAAGAAATAAGCGAAGAGGTAAAACGGAGAAAAGCTAATTTTAACCCGGAAGACAGAATAAAAAGAAAAAAAACTGTAATTTTGTTAGGGTATTGTGGGGCTAACTACTATGGTATGCAAAGAAATCCAGGACAACAAACAATAGAAGAAGACCTATTTAAAGCAATGCTAAAATGTAAATGGATTGATGAAGAGGGGTTTAACCAACCACAGCAAATACATTTTCAAAGAGCTGCTAGGACGGATAAAGGTGTTTCAGCTGCCAGACAAATTTGTTCTGTGAAATTGCGTGGGTATAATAAAAATTTTTAGATATTCATTTAACTTATGCATTTTGACGTTTCAGCCGAAAAATTAGATTTGGAAGCTATTAACTCTGAACTTCCGGATGTAATACGTGTTTTTGCAACAAGACGAGTCACAAAAGGGTTTAATTCAAAGGATCAGTGCAATGCTCGAACTTATACTTACACGATGCCAACAATTGCTCTAGATGCAGAAGCAAATGCTTCGGAATATGCATCATACCGTATAAGTAAAACGAACCGTGAACGTTTTGAAGAGATTTTATCCATGTATGAAGGAACTAAAAATTTTCACAATTTCACTAGCAAAAAGTAACTTTTTCTTTATTTTCGAACAAGCTTTTAAATATAATTTTCTAAATGCATTTAGGGAGTTTCTTGATCCTTCTTCAAAACGTTATATCATGAGTTTCAAGACCGATGAACCATTCTTAAGTGAAAATGGATTAGAGTTTATAACGTGTCGTGTTAAAGGGCAAAGTTTTATGTTGCATCAAATCCGGAAGGTATTAATATAATAGTAAGGAATTAAAAATCCAATATCGTTAAGTATAATGCAATTCTAGATGGTTGGACTCGCTTTAGCCATTGTTCGTGGAAACGCAAATAAAGATGTGATGGATCGCGTTTTTGAAGAAAACCGATTAGATATTCCTATGGCTCCTGGCTTGGGCCTTGTTTTAGATCAAGTTCATTATGATCGTTACAATGAAAGATATGGAAATGACGGCGTACATGAGAATTTAACGTGGACTGAGTTTGAACCTGAAATTGAGAAATTTATAAAAACTTATATAAACCCCACCATTTTCGAAATAGAATTCAAAGACAAACCAATGTTAAACTGGATCGAAACTTTAGGTTATCACACTTACGATGTTCGTGCAATTGACGATGAAAAAATAAAAAATATTTCCCAAAAAGAAATTTTAAAAACTGAACATTTAGATATTCATTCTAAAAATCATGATTTCGTGCCGCCTGAAAAAGAATTAGATGGTAAAATAGATGAAAAATTCAGTTTGAAATAAAAAGAAATAGATAAGAAAATATTTAATTAGTTTATGTCATTATAATTTAAGTACAATACTATCATTTTTCCTAATTTTATTTATTCTTCGACGCTTTCTAGACTTTTTATAGCCATTTGTAAAACACCCTCTCTTGAATATGCACCACCAATAAAGCCGGTTGAGTGGCAAAATTTCATATCTTTGATATCATTTTGATTTTTGAATTCATGCAAACCTCGCCAACTTTTTAAAAGAAATTTTCGGCAAACAAAACTATTTGGATCGTTTGGAACGCACATAACTCGCCAATCATTATTTGGACCGCAAAAGAGTACGTATTTATGAACACCTTTTAAATTTAATTCTTCCTCAAGTTTAAATAAGTGATCTTTCCACGGACAGCATTTTTCGAGTTCGATTATTTCTCCACTCATATGGATAGACTTCGAGTTTAAAATGGCAGCCTTTACAATCTCTCTTGCTGGTAACCAAACTGTTGCACAAAATACGACCTTTTAAATGTAAGGAAAATTTTTGGATAAAATTTTGGTAAAAATTTTTCGAACAATAAATTTAATACTTTATCTCTCAACACTTCTCCTACAAGATCTTGGGCTTTCTGAAATCTCTCATCTTCATTTAGGGAACCGGTATCATTCCATTGCGGATTTAAATGTTGAACCCTACTACTCAAATGCGTCGTAATAAAATATTTTTGCTCTCCATCACAAATAGGAACACCGTTATCAATTGCATCTATTTCCATTATTAAAGATTTATAAACTTGCTCATAAATCGTTTTCAGTTGATTTGCGTCTAGTGTAACATCTTCTTTTTTCAAAATTGCTTGTAGTACTTTTTCACCATAGTACACATAAACTAAACCTGCCGAACTTAATCTGCAAATTTTATTCAAAAATAAAATCACTTATTAAATGATATATCGTCTGTTAAGAAATGAAACAGCGTATAATGTGTACAAAATCTATGGATTTTCGCAACGACATAATAGATACGTACTCACCTGATATTGTAACCACCACCGAATTCTGGTTTTAAACTGCTAAATGTTTCATTAAAACCTTTTTGATGATGATCATATAGGTTGCGATCAGCATCGAATATTCCTCCTACATCTACAACTATATCGCAAGTGTTCAAGATTTCGGGATCTCTTGATCGAACAATTTTTGCATGTTTCATATTTTCTAACTGTTGAAGCATATAACACGCTAAAACCTGAAAATAAAGATTAATATTATTTATCTCCTTTTGAATAGTTATTGAAACAAAAATTGAACCTCATCGCAATGGAATGTTTCATTATGAGTTCCAATTTTTGATATAACACCGGTTTTCATTTTTTTTGGTTCGCTGCTCATAGATTTAGCGTGAAACGTATTATTTATCTTTTCAAATTTTATTACTCTTCTAAGGGAGGTGCTACCACTAGTAAATTTCAATATTCTTAACGTGTTCCGAACGAAAATGAGCATATTTATTGACTTCAGACTTGAATTGCTTTTGACAGTTACATTTGAATCATAATCTGATAATAACAAGGTCCGCTCGATAATTTTGACGTTTGGATAAAAATGAATAAATATGTGACGTCAGCATGCAGAATATTTTTTAAGTTTAAAATTTCGATTTTTTTTTGTTTTGTATAAATGATTTTTTGTATAAAGAATTTTAGAAGAGACAAAAATTAGATAATAATTATATTAAGACAACTTTAAAGTATATGTTAAAATTATTCCGACTTGTTAAGAATTTTAATTTTTGTGCAATAATCATTATTAATCAAATAATAAAATTTACAACAATTGTTATTATCGTTTAATAAACTTAAAATTATAAACATTATTATACGCACCTGACGTCATCAAAAAATAATTTTGCTATAAATCATGCTTTTGAAGGAATGAGACTTTTGTAAAAATTGGAGAGATTTACAACCACTGTCGAGTGACTGACATTTGTTGTTATTGACGTTTGTTTGGATTTTTTGTTGGGTGTGGGATATTAACAAATATTTTTTTATTTTTACATTAAAGAAAACTTCAGTTTAAACTAGAAATGGGGGCTAGAAATAAAAATAGTAAATTTGCGGTTGCTTTTACAACAATTGGATTTATTTTAATTTTAATAGCTTTCGTTTCTCCTTATTGGTTGGTTACAGATGGAAGATTGGTTGCACCAAAATTTCTAAATTTAGGTATTTACATAAATGTTTGTACAAATTGTTTAAACTTATTAAAGTTGAATTATTACATTATTCCAGGTTTGTGGGAAGTTTGTTTTAATAATTTTCAAGATGTACATCGATTTTATGATACGAGGTTTACAGGATGCATGTGGGTTTTTGAGGAGGAATATTATATTATTCACGATTTCCTATTGCCAGGATTTTATGTTGCAGTTCAATTCTTTTTTACTCTTTGTTTTACATTGGATTTAATAGCAATATTAGTAACACTGGTATTTTTAAAATCACCGCGAGATGATGACCGATATGTTTTCATTTTGTTAACGAATGGAGCTACTCAATTATTTGCTGGTAAACAGCATTCAAAGAATATGCAATAGCGTTAAAATAATTAAATAATTAACATGCAATAACGTTAAAATAACTATTAAATAATGCATTTCAAATTTCAGCTTTTTGTGGTCTTATTGCTGTTATTATATTTGGAGCTCGGGGTGATGGTAGAGATTGGATGCCCAATTGGCAGAATAATAACATGGGCTGGGCTTTTGCTTTTGCGTGCATAGGAGTATTGTTTTTGATCCCAGCAGGTGTTTTATTTATTGTAGAAGCGAGACGAGAACGGTACAAGCGTTTAAATGAAATTGGAACACGTGAGGCAAGCGCTTATACAATAGATGAACATGCAAGAAAATACAGAGGAAGTATTCATACCGATATTTAAGATTTGTTTTTAGTTTAAAAATTTCAATATGCATAGTTTATAGCTTTTTATTCCGTCTTTTTTTAATAACATTCCGTCCATTTTGTGAAAGTTGTACCTATAAACTGTATTCGAATAACGATCTATTGATAGAAATCATAGAAATATTTTTTAGTATTCTTTATTGTATATTATAAACTTGGAATTTTTTTACATATTTTTAAGTAAAAACCAAATGTTTATATTTTTATTAAATAAAAACTAAACTGACTTTTCCACACTTTCTTCTAGTTTCAATTTTTTAATATTTTGGTCATCATTTGTATCTGGAATAAATAGAAAAGCATTTTTCTAAACATTTAGTGTCCCGAAATATAATCGTGGCTTATACTTTTTGATAAGGTTTTTATAGCAGTTCTATTTTTTTCCTCATTCACTAATGTGGTTAAATATTCGTTTGATTTTTGTTTTGCTTCTTTTAAGCTATCTATTAAGGAAGTAATTTCTTTTCTATTATTAATTTCTATTGAAATTTCATTCGAGATGACGTCATTTATTAAGACATCAATTGTAATATTATCCATTTTTTATTATTTTTGTTTATGGAGTTTACTTTGTATTTCTCTGTATTTGTTTATAATTTTCAATAAACTTTAAATATGTATATATACGAATGACACAAAACATAACCTTTTTCTTAATGTATTATGTAGTGCACACATTGTTGTTTAAAATGACATTTTTAGAATATTTTTCTTACGATAACGTCAGTGTATATGGATAGCTGAAGCAAATTACGTACATATTTTGAAAAAATGCTTACTCCCATACAAAAATATTAGACTAAGATATTATATATTATATTAAATATAATTTTTTTTTTGAATTCCTATGAAAATTGCTTTGTCCTTTACAGAGTCCAACCAGTTCATCATTTTTTGTTAACGAAAATATAAACTTAATCCGCTGAATCAAGCATCGTTGAATTTAAAAACGAACATAAGTTAAGATTAACATGTTAAAATCATTCTTTTAAAATCTGAGTTCTATCTTTTTCTCTGATTTTAAAAAAGAAACTGGTAGAGCTTTTTGTTTGAATTAATAATTTTTCATATTTGAAATGTCAACATAGTGTATGAATATGAGTTCTGTAAAATCCTAAAACTATTTTCGAGCATGTTGACTTTGTTTTCCACTTCCAAATTTCTTTAATCGTAAAAAAGAGCACGAGTTTTTAATACTGAACCCTCTGAAGTAAAAAACAAAAACGGATCTATGTTTTGACAAATCTGAATTTGATTTAATGTAAAAAACGAAAACCCTCATAGTATCAAAAGTGAGAATTCAAGAAGGTTTCGAAGGTCAAATTACATTGCAGGTTTTCTGATTTATTCGTAGGTATTATACTGTTATTAACTCTATACTGTTATTATTTTTCTGAAGTTAATATCTTTTTGAAGATAGAATTTGAAGTGCTTCTCGATGTTAACGCACTAATTTTTGATGTATTATTTGTCAGGGTTCATTAACTCCTTTTATATCTTGTTCTTGTTTCGCGAAAAATAAAGAAAATATAAAAAAGTAAAAAAATAATTATAATTTGCACAGAATACTATTACGTTAATGAAATAAAATTACGCACGCAAACGTAAATGTCGAACATTATTCTATTCAAAAGTTGATGTGTGTAAAAATACCTTTGTCATATGTTAACGTTTCGTTTCGATAGATTTTCAGTATTATTTTAATGAGGTTGCAAAAGCCCTCAATAGGTGGTTTTTGTCTATTCATTTATAACATATTCAAATTTTAAATGTTGCATTAAATTTTGGTGTAAATTTTTGTTTTTTGAAAAACATTTCTAAAAAAAATTTGAAATTTATTTCAATAAAAAGAAAGTGCAAGCTTGAAAATCGTAAGTGTAAGTTTTATTCAAAAACAATTTTTAATTTAAGAGCTGATTTTGAATATTAAGTGCATATTTGCTTAAAAACGAAACTTTATAAATAAGTAATACACAAGAATATTCATTTTTTTATTTATTTATAAATATTAAATTTAATTAAATAAATTATTTTTTAATTGATATTCAACTGACTAGAAAGATATTCGTCGTTATTCTAATTTGAATTAAAAATTATTACAATATTGTCCTTAATTTTAAGTTTCAATTCAAAACGATTACAATATAGTAATATGTATGTATGTATGTTCCAAGATACAATCACATACATACATATTCATAATTTTTTTTGGAAATAATATTGTTAATTCTTGAAAAAAATTTTGACACCGTTTTATGAAAATGAAACGTTTTATGGATTGGGGCTAAAATCTAGTAATTTTATTTGGGGAGGGAGGCATTGAAGATTGCGAACTTGCATAACTTGCTCTTCTCGCCATACTGGCATTATTGTTTCTCATATTTTGGAACATATTACGTCTCGCGTTTACGGTTCCCCTTAAAGGTAAAGTTGGCATTTCACTTGGTGATGTCGGTTGACTTATGCGTTCAACCGATCTAGCTTCCGCCATTCCGTCTTCTCGCGATGTACTATATCGCATTGCTGGATTAACGCATTCATAAACGCTCTAAAATTGAAAACTTATTAATAAAATTAATCTTGGAAACTATTTTATTATTTACTATGTAATGCATATGTACATATATTACATTACGTTTGCTTGCACTTAATTTTAATTTATTTTTTACCTGTTCAGAAGGATATTGATTATTTTGAGCAAATGCAATAGATGTTAACGATGGAAGAGCTTGAGCGATATCCGACCTTTCAATACCTCTAACTATGAGAAATGATCTTGGTATTAATATTCCAATAAGTATTGCCCATCCGGTAGCTTGCATTCCTCCCGGTATAGCAGCATCACGCCATTTATCACCAAAGAAACACATAGGTATCCACGTACACCAAATTAAAAGACATAAAATAGCACCAATAACGATTAATAATCCTTCCCGATAGTTACGTTGTGAACGATATATAAACGGTATTAAAATGACTAAAAATATTAATAAACAGACATCATATGACATTAGAGCCCAAAATAAATTTCCATGAAAAATTTTATGGCACGAAATTTCGTCTTCAGCGACATGCATAACAATCAGTAATTGAGTTGATAAACCAATTTGAACTAGTGAACTAAAAATGCAGATTACACCTTGGATATATCCATTTACATGCGATAGAAAACCTCCTTCACTACCAATTGAAGCTAACATCAGAGCACGGCATAGGAGTAATGAAAATGTTAAACAATAACTAATTGTTATTAAAAAAACTCGAATAGCGCATAAAGTATTCATAGTCGATGCGTCTTCATATGTAACGTGTGAATTTAGATGGTCTGATCCATATTCCAAAGAAAATGGAATAAATGTTAAGAATAATAATACAAGAGAAATTAATAAAGCTATCGATCCAATAGGATTCCCTTCGAAAACATCACCAACTGAAATTCGTATAACAATAAATACAAGAATTGCTATACTTATAATGATGCCTAGTATTGACGCTGTTAAACCAGCTGCTATCCATGGTTCCGGCTTTAGTCGCCAAGACATTACAGATTCTCCTTCAAAATAGAATGGGTATTTGCGATTTGTTCCATCGCTGGATTGGCAATTGAAGACTTGCCCAAATTTGGATTTCATTTTATGACTTGTTTCGTTGGCAATATTGTAATGAAAATATGTGGTAATATTAGTAATGAAATTTTGGGACGCAATTTCTTTTAATTCGTACATTATATCTTTTTTCTTTGCCGAAGGATCAAAAGATTTATGTGGAACTTTTTGATGCATTTGAAATTGCATTAAATTTAACATTTTTCGTATTTTTAATTTATCGAGAATTTCATCTGGTTTAAATTCGTATATAGCAGAATTCCAATCCTGAACAAATTTTAAATAATTATAACAAGTTTCATAATGTATTATTCCTTGAGACTGATCACAATTAGTCATTAATGAATTATTTAGCCAATGAACCAAATCTAATAATGGACCACTCATTGATAAAAGCTCGGATGTTAAAATATTTTTCCCTAAAAGTGTTTCGTGTAATGTAATTAAAGTGGAATTTTCGTCAATAATTTGCAATGGAACTTCCGATTCCATTAAAATATAAGTTTTAGATGGAAGCCCTGAAATAAAGATATTTTTTTTTCGTAAATTTAACTTATGTCTTTTTTCTATTTAAAAAAAATGTTAACCTTTAATAAATGATCTGTCGACTCTTGTAGTTGGAATAGCAAAAATTGTACCATTTTCTTGAAAATTTTTCACCATTTTGTTACCAAGTAAAATGTATATATTATCAGAACTACGAAAGTGCATCAAACATAATTGAGCAGCTTTGGCTGCATCCATAAAATCATTATAAATATTTAAGTTTTCACCAATAATTTCGACAGAAGCACTTTTATCTCCCCATGGCATTTGATATATTAAATGAGCAACTTTTGAAAAAAGATGACTTCGTGTTGATGGTATTGGCCATATATAATATTCTAAATCATCTATTAATTCCTTAACATGAGTATATAAATCGAAATCAAGGAATACTCCAATAGGATGCTCTGTACATTGTTGTAAATATTGTACTTCTTGTATTAAAAGATTTTCAGTGTTTGATATATCTTTAACGAAAAGTGCTCTCATTCCTAAAACAATTAAAAATAATTTTAATATTATGGTATATTTTGTATATGACTTATAAATAGCTATATATAAAAAATTTAAAATATTGTTAACCTAATTCAAAATCGCCTCCAATTAGTCTAGCTCTATTTACACGATCAATAATAAATAAAGCTGTAACTGGATCTCTTGTTAATATTGATATTATTGCATCACCTTCGATTACTTGTACTAAATCATTTTCATCATCATAATTATCTGATCCAGTTTCTGTTATCTCATTACTTTCAATATTTTTTTGTAATTTTACTCCATCAATACATATAGATGGCACAGGTGATTCTGTTATATTTGAATTAGGTAATAGAGATTGATCATCTGCTAATGTTACTGTAGTTGTATTTATTGGTTGACCAAGTCTATTAAATGATGGCATTGTTATTCCTAACATTCCGCTTAAAGTATTTTCTCCAATTGCCACATTATTAAGGATGCTTATTATTGTTAACCAAATGGAAACTATATAGGAAATATATTTATAAAAGTAGATGCGAATATTATAATTTATAATATTTTATGTTATTGTTATAAAATTAGAATTGTAATTGTTTCGCTTAAATTTTAATGATATGGGGGATGAAATGAAATATTTTAAATTATTCACCTGTTTTTATATTCCAAAATGTCCTTAACTTATTCATATTTAAATGGTTACAAATTGCCTTAAATGACTATTGTTTACCGACTATTGGTATTTAATTTTTTTTTTATTTATTCTAAATTAATGTTAATTAATTGTAAATTATACAAAACATTGAAAAAAACCAGTTAATTGTTTAATTATACGAAAACGTATAATAAAAGGAAGATTTCTTTTTTGTTTACAATTAAAAATTTTTAATTAATTTTTTTTTTTAATAATCATTTTATCACTTTTATTTTATAATAATGTGCATGTATCGATTTTTATAATGTATGTCCTTAAATACATATACATGTACATACATACATATAAAATATTCAGTAATTTTCTCTATTAACAATAAAATTATTTTATTCCTTCTAAATTTTATAAATTATTTCACATTTGCATCTTTCGTTGTATTTTTTATTAAATTCAAAAAGTTGATAATATTATTTTAAAAATATTATTTATTAGCTTACAACAATAAGTTTGATTTCGCACTGGTAATTAAACAAAATATATTGTTTGCTTGTTTACAAGTAAAAATTATATACGTATGTAAAATTAAAATGTTGTTTTTTACTATTGATGTACCTGCATACAAATATGTACATAATTTATGTTGGCACATTTATGCTATGGTAACGGCGGAATATGCAGGTGCGGGTATTATAACAAAATTTGTTTTGGAATAAGTGTTTACAATATGATATACACACATTCATATGTATGATATAAACAAAACAAATAATAGAAATTAAAATATGCGTGTATGTTATTTAAATTCTAATAACTATTTATTAAGAATGAAATTTAAAATAAATTATTATACAATAATAATTACAAGTAATAGTAGAGCAGTGTCTAATAATTAATATGACATTTAATTACATGTATTGTTGTGAACGTAATATCGTGTCAAATTTAAAATAATTGTAATCAAATGACAAACATTTTTTGATAGTCTTAAAACTCAAATATTTGGTTTTATAATCTAATTTTATATAATAAATTAAATAGGAATATTTATAAAACATTTTATATTGTAGATGCGTATAAAAAGTAAAACATTGGGCTTGTTTACACGCGTGTATACATGGAGCATATGCCCAGCACTTCTTCTCTCTGGCTTCTCTTACATTGCTTCTTACGCTGTCTTTGCTATACATATATGTACATATAACAACTAAATATTATTTTCTATGAAGAGAGTATGTAAGAAGCATAAAAGAAGTACTGTGTATATCCGCTTAATGCATACACACGTAAAAAGATTTATGATCAATATTGGAATTTTGACGCTTTATGCTAGATTGTGTTTTGCCAGAGTGCGTTCACTGTCTTTATTTTATTTTATTATTAATTTGTAATTTACTTTAAGTGAATAATATGTAGTATTAGGTAATGTAAAATATATATTTTATACTCTTTTTTAATTTTTTTTTTTAATATAACAACTTCTTTTTTAATATTTATTCATTATTATTAATAAAAATTATTCATTATTATTCATTATTATTCGTACGTTTCAAAGGTTTCAAAGCAAAAACTTAATTTTTGAATACATACATAGACATAATTTTATTTCTTAATTTATTGTAAATTATGTTGAACGAAAATTATATCTCAAAAAAAATTTAATTGTTTTTGAATATTTAATTTTTACGTAAGCAATTAATTTTATAAAACATTTCACTTAATTAAAGAATAATAATAAAGTTTTCATCTTCTTTTACTTTGTTTTGTAGCATTACTAAAGTAAAAATTCTTTTTCATAATTATATTTTCTAATAATATTATACAAATTATTTATATATATATGTAAGTAATAATTATGTATGTGGATAATTATAATATTGTACTTCCATTTATAATAATATATATGTATAAAATATGAATACTTATTTACATTATTATGTATAAGCATTACATCCATAAATGTCAACTAATTTGAATTTTTGTGGTCATAAGTGTTTAACAATTAAACCAAAATTAAACATATTAAATGAAATAAAGTTGGCTCAGATTAATAGTTTGTAAAGTAGCACTTTTTCCTTCAGCAAGTGAAACTTTCTTTCCAAAACAATTAATTACATTATTTCTTTCAATCATATACCAAAATAATTTAAAAGATTGCATACTTTTAGGATGAGACAAGAAAAATAACTGAAAGAGGTACAAAACATACTGTTGAATTCAAGTGTTAATTACGTGAGTTAAGACATTTATGTATGTAGTTCTATTTTTTGATGGTATAGAATTTCCCGTTAGCATTCTGAATTTATAGAAATTTGAAATGGTTTATAGTTTTGGAAAAAAATTTTCTTCAGGCTTCTACAATTTACCTTTTAGAACAACATCAAGAATATTAAAAAAAAGCATATTGGATAACGGTTAATTTTAACGGCCATTTCGTTTTTTTTTTAAAAATTCAACTATGTTATGCCGCGGTAGAAGAAGGCCATCAGCACTTATATATGTTTAAAGTATTTAAAAAAAAATTGTGGTACCGCTACAATAAATGTAAAGAAAATGGCATTTTTAAAATTTTGATGGGTTATAAGTTAAATTGTTAAATAGATTTAAGATGAAAGTTGAGTAATGAAGATAGTAATGCAACTACTTGATTTAAAATCATGGATTATAAGTATCTGTTAATTGAATATAATATTTTGTGGTGGTATAAGAACATTAATAATGTTAGCGTCTATATAAATTCTATTATATAAGTTAAAAATATTAATTTTTCATATTTTTAGAACAAACATTAATTATTTCTTTTAATATTGTTATTTTTTATATTTTACGCGAGAATAGTATATGTGTATGTGTCTATATTATGTCTTGTGTATATATATACTCATTCACCTATATGTATAATGTCCACGTAATCATAATATTTTTTTTCATTTTCTTCTATAAATTCTATGCACAAAATTATAAGCCTTCACAAAATTTATTGTTATTCCTCATATGTATGTACATATACATACGAGTATGTATTGTAATATAACAGAATATACCATGTGACCAACTTTATGGTTCACTTATTTACCGATTTTTAATTTAGAACAACGCGGAAAACACTAATATATATACAATTATAAATTTTGTATGTGACTTGGTATATTTTTATATTATAGATTGTTTGTAGGTATAATGTTAATATATAAAGATCGTTGCGCATATTAACGTATTACATGATAATAATAAAGTTGTATATCATTATATTATAATCTGTATGTATACCGTACAATATAAAATATTTAAAAATAATTTTGTATATTACTGTTATGAAATATAGAATATTAAGCGACTTATTTCCATTTTGAATTGTATAAATATTAACTAGGGTATATACGTATATATAAAATTTAAAGAAATTTAATATTCTAGTAATATGTACCTACATATGTATATATGTATAAGAATTCTAATGCATATATAATATAAAAAAAATGTATAATAAATTGTAATGTAGTAAAACTAATTTAAAATAATTTTAAAATTGTTCAAATATATGAAAATAAAAAATTTACTGTTATACGTTTTAAATATATATATATGGTTGTTTATTAAAATAATTAATATACAAATGTATAATCATTATTTAAATTAAAAATAAAATAATAATTTATTAAATTTTTATTAACTTTGAAATTCTAATATTATATAATAGAAGTATTGGAAACAATTAATAGACACTTGCATATTTCTTTATTTTCTGATTCTCTGAATTAAATGGAATCAAAATTTTCTATAAAATTGCATTTTTAATATATATGCATTTGTATATAACAGTTAATTTACTTATGATCAAATACTGTTTATATTTTAAATTCCTTATTTTGTTGGACATGAAATTAACTACTAAATTCGTGAGTAAATAATGTTTTTTTTTAGACATTTAGACATTTAAATAAGTCTAAAATTTTGGATATATTTTATACTTTGTATATATATATGAATATAACTGCAAACAGATGTATATACATCAATAAATTTGTAAAATAACTTAATTTGAATGAAGTATAATTACTAAGTCATTATTTGAAACCTTTTAAAAATTTTTACATTTCTTTTATATATCATGGTCAAAATTATTATAATACTATTTAATCATATACATAGGTATTCCATGATTCACATTAAATCTTTTTGATTTAATTTGACACCCTCCAAAAGAAAACATAAACTAAACAATTATAAGGGGCACGATATAAAGAAAAATGATATATATACTCGTATATATACAATTAAAACTCTTATACGAATGAGTACATTCAACTTGAAAATTTATATTTATATAGTGTATATAATTAAAAGGTTAATTAAATCAATTTGTACATTCCACTACATATTATACCTTTCAATATTAAATTACATTAATAATAATAATAAAAATAAAATTCTCTTACATTAAATTTTTTTACGGCTTGTTTAATATAAAGAACACATTTATTCATATTTTGCAGTATATGATATTTTGTATATATACATAGGTACGCATGTATTAAAACATTACAAAGGTATCGAATATATTATATTACTGGTTTCGTGAATATAATAAAAAAAATAAAAATAAAATGAAAAGTAAAAATCAATGTAAATGAATTTATATCACGTGAAAATTGAATTTTTTTACTGTTTTAAAAAAAAAGATTGTGGAACGGAAAGAAACAAATCATGTGCATAATTAAAAGAAGTAAGGCAAGTAATTAAATAATATTGTGTGATAATATTATTTATATAAGTATGTAATTTATAGTATGAATGGTAGAATTTCATTAAAATGTTCACAATTAATTCGAAATTATCTTACAAAATAAATAAATATAAGAAATTGATTATTGTATATCAATTATAAAATATTATAAAAAAAAAATTTAAATTTTTTTCTTGAAAAACAATTTTTTGTTCTAAAATATGAAATGAGACTGATGAGAGCATTACAAACTAATTTAGAATGATTTTGATTTATTTGTGATTTTATGAGCCTTCTTAATTTATCTTTGCATAATTGTATGCAAAAATTAGGGTTATAAAATGGTGGTCAATCCAAAATTGAATTATCTTAAAAATAACTTACAAATATTTTTTTTAAAATTAAGCAGGATTTTATTAAGCAAGCTTCTATCAAATTGTTTTTATTGAATTTTCTTGCAAATTTTTAAAAAATAACCTATTAAAATGGATGTATTGCGGTTAGGATAATGAGATTGGTATGATTAATTTTAAGTTATTAATATTGTAGTAGGCTTATAGATAGAGAATCGAAATATTCAATTTTAAGTTTAATCAAATTTAAATAAGATCTGATAAGACGTAATAATTAAGATTTCCCATAACAGCTAATACATTTGTAACAATATAACAATAT